TGGGCCTAAACACTGTGTTTTTTGAAGTTCAACCCTGCATTCTGAACATCTCCGAACAGCTGGTTAGTCAGGGGGACAACAACCCCAGGATTGGTCATTCATTCTGCTGTTGATGATGAATTGTTATGGTATATTTATATATATATATACATATATATATATATCATGATGAAACATAACAGTGCAGGCAGACTGATGGTGATGCTCACTGCAATGCAAGTGGTCCGGGTCGCCTCTGAGGAATGCGGATGACAACATGTACAAGGATGCGGATTTGTTGCTGTGGAGCTATGGGCTTATCCTTATCCAGAACTGTTTGTCCTTGGCGAAGTTTGCATATGAATACATATACTGCAAGCCTTTTTTCCCACAGAAATATTGAAACCAACACGTAGTTGAATAATTCTGCGCACATGTTTTTGACCTGGCCCACCTTGACAATGCAGCAGGGAGATTATGGTCAGCCCTTGGTCGCCCCATGTTCTTCAATTCCCAGGGGACGAGATCCCTTGCTGTTTGCTGTTGAGACGCAATCGAACAAGAGACGCATCGCAATCCTTGAAAGCTTGGACAAATACGAGAAGGCTTGCGAATGATTTAAGTTCTCGCTCGAATCTCTGTTGGCATACCAGAGAGGGGGGCGGTTTGACTCATCCATTGCTCTCATACACCAGGAGGGCGTGACTCCCAGTGCTGAATTTTTGCTGCGCGAGAGCAATGGAGGAGAGGCCAGGAGTCGGCGTTGGGTTGTGGATGGATAAACCAACTGGGGAATGGTAGGTTGCTTAACCAACAGAAGTTTAGAATAGTTTAGATATGTTCTGGCAAAATAGGATTTCATTAGCAACAGCAGGTGAATACCTGGGTAAACCGTGAATGAATATACTTGATTGGCCAACAAACGAATTAGATTTGGATCTTCGTTGCAGGATATCCAGGGTTAGCCTTTCAATTGGTTAAGTTAGTAAGTTATATATATATATTTACATATGTATGTATATACACATACATATGTGTTTAGATGGCTTATAGTTGTAGCAACTATGATTCCCATTGTATTCCTAGCCAAATATTAAGTAGAATGCACCCAAATCGCATGATATCCAAGGTTGGAGAAAGAAGGCTTGGACCCCGAGAGTTTTTGTTTTTGAGGCTGAACCCCACAGGATCCTTTTCGCTGGGTTAAGGTTCTGCCTGCGGGCTTCAATCGCTCACGTAAAACGTAGTCCACCCCGCGCCTTTTTGAAGTCCAGAAATAGCTGGAAGAATCATGTTCTTTTTATGACAGAATAGTAAGGCCAACCATGACCAACCAGTATTGAGGGGAATGAAGGGTACCGCCTTGACGGCCTCAAAACTCCACGACAATCACGTCATCGTGCGTCGAAGGTTCTGTTCCGCTGCAACGAAGTGGGCTTCCGCGAGGTCGGTCGATGCGGGGTCGAAAGGCTTGTGTAGCAATTGACCAACTAACCAACCAATTGTATATATGTTTTATCTTTATGATTGTATATCAACCTCCAAAAAGATCGAAGCATATAGAAACATATGTGTTCAATTTCTTGGTGGCATTGATCATTTGTTCTGTCCTTCCGTTTTTGGTTTATATAATAGATATGTTTCTCTTCTTACAATCACGTGTATTCTTTACAAGATTCATACAGGAACTTAACCCACAGCACCCCATACCGTACATACCTGGTTGTCCATGTTGTTTTGTATTGTATTGTATTGTTTTGTACGTTTCCCCAAGACAACTTCATTCAATGTGTGGTAAACCCAACGCAAGAAACCATCCCCAAGCTACCCAATGACCCACCATTTGGGGAATATTAAAGCCATGGCCATACCCAAAAAGGGTGTTTGTCACATTGGGTTTGCACTGTTACAGACCATTTCCGACCGTTTATGATAAGGTAAGGGGAGTCATGAGGCAACGGTGCAAGCCTTGATCACTTGGTGTCATCGAGTGTCCTGGGACGACACACAGTTGCGAGATCGGACAGGAATGGAGACGTCTTGAAGGGGCATCTTGGACCAGCTTTGGCTCCAGAACCATTTTTTGGATTTTTTTGGGCCCAACAAGGCCCCAAACTTTTTGAAGCTCCAAGAGCTCAGCTGACGTGAGCAGAGCCCCCCATGGCCCGCGTGGTTTTCGGAGCGGATTAGCCAGGGGCCAGGCCTTTTTACATTCTACTTGCCCAAGATTTCTTCGGCCGCTCTCCGGTTCCGTTGCATTCCCCAAAGCCGTTGGTGGTATTTGTTGATCCCCCAAGTTGGTTTGATCATATGCCCGTTGCCGCTGATCATGGGAGCGTTATTTCTTGTGGGATGGAATCAAATAGTAACACCATTTGAGCAATGCCCAGTGGACCCTGAACTGTGCCCTCCACCAACGAGTGGGTTTGTGGATGACACAGGGTTTTGGGCATTGCATATTTGAACTTTAAATGCAAAATAGAGGGTTTCATACATGAATTGAATCACATTACACAGTAATAGACAAACATATAGTGAAGTAGAATCATTATCCTGGTTTATTGATTCACGATTAGCTTTGGGCTTCTGGCTTCAATGTTTTTGCACTTTCAGAGGGAAGATGGTGCGCCGTTTATCCACTTCGCCACAGCACATCCCCTCCAATCCAAGCAGTTTTCCAACCCATGCCGCACCATGCCCCCAGTGTTTCAGATGCATCGATGCATCGAGGCCGACATCCGAGCCATTTGTGACATCGGCAACTCATCCAAGGCGATAGATCGACAGGGCTTTCGGCTTTTGGTTTGTTCGAATTTGTTTGATGGATTGTTTGTGACAATTTGTCTCTAATATTGTCTCTAATATTGTCTAATATTGTCTCTAATGGTTTCTATATGTTTCTTCTTGTATGATGATGGTGATGGCGCGGCGTTGTTCATGCAAAGTGTACCCCCCCGTCGATGCTTTTTGTTCAAACAGATACTGCAACAGCAAGAGTGTGGGCAACAAGTAAGATGGTGAAGATCGTGATTTTGTACACAGCAGCTCCTCCCGTATCAATGGTGGGATTTTGACAGCCGCGGTTCTGTGAAAAATCTTGCATGTGTTGCATGGAGGAAAAAATAATATATATATATATATTATTTTCCCAAAAGATAAACCGAGCTGAACCTCCAAGATTTTCTGGATTCTTCCAGGTTCACGTGTAGGTTCAAAGTTTCACTTGCTATCCAACCAAAGCAGGCATGAAGAGCGACACTTCTGGAGTTTCTGTTGCTACTCGCATGGGTGCAGTCATTGAGTACCTGCAACATAAGACTTTTGAAGGGTTCAAGAGCTAGATTTTTGATGATTGACCATCACCAATCTTCTCTCCGTGGCAGGTGGGTGTGGCCAAGTATGGACCCGGCGGTCGTCGGGCCGCCAACAATCCAACCACAAGTTCACCACCAAACGGGTTTATTAAAATGGTTTATTGGATTTGGTGAAACTTGAAGATTGGTGAGACTTGGCGTCTAAAATTCCACTAATGAGAGCTGGAGGATTTTAGATTTTGTCAAGCACCAAAGATCGGGGCTTTAATTGACCTGCTTACACGATTCAAAAACCCAACATGGGTGGGATCATTTGTGATCGAAACCAGTGAAACTGTTTGGAGGTTTTGAACGGTTGGATTGTTCTCCAATTTCCTACCCTGGCTGGTTTTGCCGATTAAATCTCCAGGAAAATCATGGAAAATCATATGTTTTTCAGTTGTTACCGTTACAATTTTGATCAGCAACGCAAAATGACCCATTTACCGATTTGTGATCATAGGTATATCATAGGTTTTACATGGTTTTAGCTTCCATTTCAAGTCTTGCTTTCCTGTAGCAGTTCCCTTTTTTATCCACAGAGACGGCAGCTGGCAGCGGGATGCAGCTTTCTCCATCCCCAAGGGTTCCCAAGGCGTGGTAGCCACTGGTGAGAAAGGTTTGGGCTTCAAGGCGCGCCAAAGATCTGAAACATGACTGGTTGATCCTCAAAATGGCAATAAGAATGGGGATTCAACGTGCAGAACAAGGATTGGATCTTCCAACATCCTAGTATCTCAGCTTCAAATAGAATTTGACTAGCACAAATGGTCCAAATGGTGATTCTCTGCAAAAGTTGCTTGAGTACATCTGTACAAATGGGATCTGGAATAGACAGAAAGGTGATTCCCAACTATTATGTGTTGATTCTCCACCTGCCAGGTGAGGGTTGTTAGATTTTATGTCAGTTGCCTCCTCCTCCTGCCGCCTCCTGCCTCCTGCCTCCTCCTCGTCCTCCTTGTCGTCCTTGTCGTCCTCGTCGTCCTCGTCGTCCTCGTCCAACTGCGACCCGCGATCCACAGTGTTCGCTGCCGGACCTCAACCACGACCATCCACGCCCAGTGTTCCCTGCCGGACCTCAACCGCGAGTATCCGGGCCCAGTGTTCCCTGCCGGACCTGAACCACGACCATCCACGCCCAGTGTTCCCTGCCGGACCTCAACCGCGAGGATCCATGCCAAGTGTTCCCTGCCGGACCTCATGTAGGAAGATATGGGACAAAGAATGTGCAGAAGAAAGTTAGAAAGAATGTCAGAAAGAATGCCAGAAGATATTGCCAGATAGAATGCCAGAAGATTTGCCAGATAGAATGCCAGAAGCCAGAAGATATGCCAGATAGATATGCCAGAAGATATGCCAGATATGCCAGAAGATATGTCAGATAGAATGCCAGAAGATATGTCAGAATATATGCCAGAAGATATGCCAGATAGAATGCCAGATTGAATGCCAGAAGATATGTCAGATAGAGTGCCAGAAGATATGCCAGATAGAATGCCAGAAGATTTGCCAGATAGAATGCCAGAAGATATGCCAGAAGATATGCCAGATCATATGCCAGAAGATATGCCAGATAGAATGCCAAATAGAATGTCAGAAGATATGTCAGATAGAATGCCAGAAGATTTGCCAGTAAGAAAATGTAAAAATGTCATGGTGGGGATCACACGAAGTAAAGTAATTATGTTGTTTAGGCTCAAAGAAATTGATTGACCTCTAAAAAGGTCATAGGGAAAGACAACCGTCCGAAAATTTGACCTTCATATGACTGCAAAGTCACAATGCTCAAAATCAATGGAAGAGTGGTGAACCCAGAGATGGGTGGAAAAAAACATCCTATTGGGTTTACCACATAGATCGCTGGACATGGTCGGATTACTCTGACACAACAATTATGGGTAAACCATACATATTTACATATTTACATTTTGTTCACCAACCACACCAAAATAGGTAAAGTGGACCTTACAAATGGGACCCTTTCCGATTGTCAAGTGTACTTTCTAGAGAGCAAATAAAGGAGTCGTGCTGTGAAAGAACAATATAATATGATTGTCTATTGACAAAGGTTTCTTTAAGATCCACCAAATCCGCTTGGTACACTCTTGTAAAATCATTGAGGTGTGCTCGAAATGACGCAGCTCCTTGAAAGCAAGACACAGTCCAAGTCGAGCATGGCATGCGGGGAATAAATGCCACAAAAACCCATTGGCTGGTTGATTGATTCTAATATAGATATGCAGACTACATATTACATGAACTGGTATATAATGGTTAAAAGATTGTTTTCTATTGATATGGACTGGTTGGTTGTTTCAACTACATTAGAAAGTTGCTTCATCAATTGTATCAAATGGACTTTTTCCACACGGCCATCAGCAATCAGCTATACCAAAGTTATACCCATCATGTTCTCCACCAAGACGGCTCCAAGGAGAACCATGACTTATTCTCATTCGCATGGTCACCATGGCAATCCCAGAAAGTTAGTCCCATCTAGTCAGTTACATCTAGATACATCTAGTTCAATGGGTTTATTGTATTTTGGTGCTAATTGTTCACATACCTACATGTTGAATCATGTTGACCCCATGATTGTGCCAGAAATCGGCCCTTCCAGGCGGTCTTTGCCCTCACCGACAAGCCAAAGCTCTTCTCTGGACCCTACCGTCTGGAGTTTGACGCTTGTCAGGTGAAACTTTGACCTGTTCCGGGTGAAGCTTTGGCGATGAGTAGGGCAATCAAACCAGATGTTGATTTTTACATGATTTTACATGATTTTACAAGCTTTCAATGGGATTAAACGGCCTTGCGCCCGCAACAATGGATTAACATAATATCGGTAAACCTACTGAGAGATACTTTGGGTAGGTGACTATGTTCCACAACTGTAAAAATAGACTAACCAGCTAATCTCGTTTGTTGTCGGGCATGTATCCAAGATTGGTTATGTCTTTGGCCCAAACGGGGTACAAGTTTTGTTCATCCAATCTATGAGCAGGACCAGAGATTTTCTTGTCCTTTGATACAATCCTGGCACGTCATTTGCATTCAGGCCGCATCTTTGCTGGCTTGGTGGGCAGTGTCTTTGGCTCTGGGCGGTTTGTCAAAGCAAGGGGCAAATTCTGCCTCCAACTGGCAAACGTGTTTGGAAGAATGCAACTGGCAACTGTTGCAACAGGCCAGGCCTGAACAACACGATTTCGAAACTCAACTCACACGTGCTCCCCAGCTGGTTCGCGGCAATGGTCCTGGTGAAGAAGGATTCCCATTTGTCCAATATAAGTATGAGAGCTTGACAAAACTACAGAAGACCAATCGAGAAGTATACGAAATCCCCTCGACTTTGACGCCAGCAGGCTCGGTGCGCCTACTGACCTGGTGACCTGACACGTGCTGAAGCACTCTTTTTTTGGGGGGAGACAGAGGCCGAATGAAATTCCAAGATATTCCAAGTGTCAAGCTGGATCCAGCTGGTTAGATTTGGCATCTGCTGCATCTCCATGTCTTTCTGGATGCAACGGAAGTTTTGGTGGCTGGTTTGACCACTTTGGGGATTAGGATGTATTCACCCATGCAATTTGGGGAACTTTTAAGTAAATATTCCCTTCAATCATTCCAGGTTTTTGATGTTTTTGTGTTCGTTTTTTTCATAGCCAACTTTGCTTGCGATGATTGATGCACATGACCCATATGTTTCCGGTGGGTAATGGTGGGTAGGATAGGCGAATAACACCGCCGACATGGAGCATTCGCACTGGAACAGAATCTGGAGGGAAACAACATTGAAACCATAAGACGCCATAAGAATGCAATTGAAAGTGACAGGGATTAGAGATGATTAGAGTATGCATTCCCACAGGATTTGAGGCAATCACCAGCAAGAACCAGGGAATTGTGCATTATGTTTTTCTGATGCGGTCATTTCACACCAGAGTCATCCAGAGTCAAGTAATATGAGGTCTTGTTTCTATTGAATATTAATATATATGTATATATATTATATTATATATATATACATATTTATATGTGCGTCGCCTTTTTCAGTGGTTCATATCATTCATCGCATGAATAATGTACAATTATAAGTTATTGTAAGTAAATGATATTAAACGAAGATCCCCAGTGGTAGCTGGTAGCATCTCATGAGTATCTCCAGGATTCCACCCGGCTATGGTATGGTGCCATGGGTGCCATGGTCCCACCGAGGATGCCACGCACCCCAGCGGCATCGGCTACGTCTTGCCACGCTGGTTGGAGGAGAAGGAAGATCAGCTGCTGAGGCACGTTGAGGCCCGTTGAGGCCCTATGGATCAACTGGATCAACCATTTTCTGATTCCACACGGATGGTTAAGCAATGTTAAGCACTTACTAATGGAGATGCCCCCGTAGATGTGTTTTTTCTTCCTGTTTGATCCAGACAGGTTCACCACCGCTTACAACCCTTTGCAAGCAGTACGGAAGAGACACGAGACCCGCCCCTCTATTTCCCATCAAAGGCTCCTAGGACATTCCTGTCTACATCATAGTTTGCGATTGATTTCTGTACTTACCTTACCTTTCACTTCCCAAGGTCCAGCATGGTCCAGCACGGGCCAAGATTTGCATGTAGAGGTACTTAATTACATGCAATATCATGTAACTCTATGTAATTATATACAGTCGATTGCACCGAACTCTAGTTGAAATGTGTGGATATCATGTTGAAATCATGTTCAAATACGTAATGATTATTGGGTATAGTATTATTGATAACATACTAATAATAATAGTATTATTAATAATAATTTAACAATGATGATGCTGATGATAACGATGTTAGTGTGAGTTCCCTGACTGTTCTCGGGGCTTGGCCACCGGACATGTCCGCCCGCAGGCCATCCTGGGGCTCCCTCTTGCGACTGCCCTTGCGACCGGAGCTGCACCCACGACGCGAGGCGCGGATGCTGTGGGTGACTAGAAGTGCAGATAAGTATCAAAATCGGGTTCAAATGGGGATATGATAGAATTAACTAATATATACTGATTTGAACATAATATAACAATCCGATACAATCTCAAAATTTCAAGGGGTGGAGGGATGGAAACCATTTCTGCATGTGGATGATAATCTTCTTGGCCTTCTTGATAGTTTGCTGGTCCCATGCTCAAAGTTTGAGATTGGGCGGGTAAACCCATCAATGCATTCAAAGTCTAAGTCTCAACCCCAACAAGTCTTCCAGGTTCCATTCCTGTTTGGGGGCATGTTGCTTTGCAGGAGCGTGGTAACAACGGTGGCTTTACCAACATCACAATGGAACATAATTTCAGGATATTTCAGGAACATCCGAGTATCGAAAACAAACAAAAAACACGTGTGAAGACTACCTTTCACAACTGTCCAATTGTTTCATGACTTTTCTTTTTGGGGAATTGCCAAGGATCCTTCCAGAATTGCTGTGTATTAACTTCCACCCCCATATCGACTTCACAATGTCAAACCGAGGTTGAATAGTGAAGCACCACAACTTGATGTGTATATGTCTTCTATTCTCATGCTAAACAATGTTAAAGAATGTCACAGATTTCTAGAAACAGCTTTTAAGCCACGTGTTTGATGGAAAAGCAACCATAGGTTCTGAATCCTAAGCGGTCCAGGTTCTGATACTTTTACTTGAATCCCAAAATTATAATGGTATCAAGTTCAATCCCATGTTTGAACCCATTTGAAGCACATAAATTGATGAAATCTTATGAAATCTCCATGTTTGTCCCATAAATTACCCGCTGAACCGGCCAGGAACTCTTCCGTCGCCTGGCCGAAGCCTTGCCCCCGTCGCTGTTGCTCTTCATGAAGCGCCTGCAGGAGGTGCCACGAAAACCGGGATGGGCTTGTTGACTATAACAATCTACAAGATGGGAATATATGGGAATATAATGTAAGGGAATAATTATGGGATATGAATATTATAGTAGATGTTGGTAATTACTGTTGTTACATTGTCATTACTATGAATAGTGATTTAATCCTCTAGAGACTTGGAGGTTTCAATACTATGGTTTGGGCTGACTTGGATGATTTGGGGGTACGCCTATTTTAAGAGAATGTTTGGGCTGTGCATTATCACCATACATCACTCCAACTCATTTTTTGGTTTCTTCCACACAAATCCAGAATGAGTGCTTTGAATGGGTACACTTGGCCATGAAGCAAAGCTATGAGGCCACGGTTGACCTACCAAATACAACAATGATGGTTATTTTCTTTGTTTTTGCGGTTGATACCCTTTGTACCCCAAGATTTGAGCAAAGTATCCAAATATCTATCCCAAAATTGTTGATGTTTGAAAGATGTTTCATGTCAACTCGACGACATTTCCATATGTCCTGGTGCAAGTGGTATAGATGCTGCAGTCGGGATCAAAGTTAATGTTTTGCTGTCTAACAAATCACCAAAAATGCAGTTTGCATGAGAAACTCACGGTGGTTTACCAGTGTTTTTGTTGATATTTCCTGAATTGAAATACCGCACTTTTGCTACCCCACTTGTGGATAAACCATTGTATATATAATATATTATTAATATGTCAAAAGAATCAGACAGCCAGGGTTGCAGCTTTAGTTCCCAGGGCTGCATCCTCGCTGCCATTGATCCCATGGTTTTGCTCGCGAGGTGTCCGTCCGTGGGGAGACAGGTGCGACTTGCGCTGGGATCTGGGATCTTCAGAGTTTCGAACCAGTCACATCCGTCTATGTACATATATTGTATATATATAATTATATATATAGTTAATTGATTAGAATTGATTATAATTGATTATCATTGTATATACTAGAATTCCATGGGTCCGTGCTTGGGTCAAAGATTTGTTACATTGAAACAGCTTTTCGGCTGATGTTTTGTTAAGGGGCGCATTTGAAATTACTGGATAGAACTTCCAGAACTCGCAAACCGAATACGAAGGATAATCAGCCAATATGGATTTGACAATCCGAAAACTATTGAAACTGATTGGATGCTTGGTTGTTGTATGTGTCGGAAAGATTGATTGGATGCAGCCGAGGGGGAAAATGGCAGTAGAATTCCGACCCCAAATTGGGATTTGCACAATGCCACCAATGAAATCACTGGAAGAGGATCTAAGACTCTGTATCAACCTCAGTTGCGACCAAAGTTGACCCCCCCACAAAAAGATGTTTTGAACCCATTAATTAAATGACCTCAAAATGTACATCAAACCCTCCAATCGGCGGTCGCATCACTTCCAGTTCTTTATGTGGTGAAAGGCAAGAAGGATATTAGTTTTTTTATCTTGTTTTTGGAAATCCTTCTTTGATCTTCTTTGGGCTCAAAAATAGCGGTAAATATTGGGATGGAATCATAAATTCACTAAGAATATTCATGGTCCATGGTGGTTCTCATTTCCTTCATTGAATTTGGAATATAAATGTGCAGTCTTACTTTTGCACACATATTAGGTTGATTGAAACTATCCTATGATGTTATCCAAATTATCCCTGGATAAGTCGAGCATGATTCGGGTAGCCCTTCCTGATTCGTCCCTTGCCAGGCGGGACATCTTCACTTCATGTGAAGTATGCGGAGGAGCCAGCCAAAAAAACATCAAACAGCACCAAGAAGTTGCTATTTGCTCACGGTAGTGGTGATTTCTTACAAAAACAAAGAGTTGGAAAGTGGGAAAGCACCTTTTCGGTGGTTCAAAGTTCAAACCTATGCGTCTCTTGTTGTCTTGTTCTCTGCTCTTCCCTCATTCTAGGTAAGTGAAATTCCATTCATTCAGAACGTGAACATGACGTGGGATGTTCATCTCAATACTATGTAGGATTATCTCCGATTAGCCACCATTTGAGTCCGTGAAAATCCATTAAATATCATGAAATCAATTTGAAAGATGCTCACTTCTCTAAACATCCTATAGCAATCACCATGCCCACAGAGCCGGAGCTGCTACGGTGCAGGAGCAACCCACCGGTGCCGAGAACAGGTGGAAGGAGTTCTTTGGTCAAGTGAAGCTGCAGGCATGGCTAAAGCGGCTGGTGAATGGTTGGTACGTGGGCATACAATATCAACTAACATAATCTAAAGTGCTATATTTATATATGAATATATATATATATAGAGAGTGTGTGTAAATCAACTAAAACATATTGCTATAAATCAACTAAAATGTGCAGGGTGCCAAGGCTAAGCCATGACTTGTTATAGAGTCTTTGAGCACAGCTGGATGGTTGCAATGGTGGTGATCAAGTTGCCACGATGGCTGTGTTGGTCTCTTTCTGTTTTTACAAGTCATAAAAATTCTGGGTACATCTAGGTATAACGTATGTATGTCTCTGAAAATGAGGGTATATCCCCAAACCATCCCAAACCATTTGTTTCCCCACTACAGCGGCCTAAATGATTAGGGTTCCTCTATTGGCCCATAGCATTGGTTTATCATGTTCCAAGGCATCCTTGAAAGTATGCGCCTTCTTTTTGGGTTCAACCGGAAAAAAAAGAACACAACCAAGCAGCCAGCATCTGTTTAGATTCGAAAAAACAATGAGAACAGTTGTGGATGCAAATGATGATAGTTTATGATGGAGATAGTTTCAATGTGTAGCGGATCAGAGATACAGGCCAAAAGGCTGGTGAAGATCCATATCAATTGGGAAGCTAATGAGCAGAGCTACAGATATCTACAGATACCCCAATATTAATGGGTAATTGTTGTTGATATTGGTGTTGTGCCCAGCATGGTTGCTATTGCACCCACGTAAAATAAGCAGCCCTTGTGGTTCTACAACCCTGGTAGTTCTCTCAAAATCATCGGGGCAGGTCCATTGGTCCACTAAGGATTGGCACGTAATTTCAACATGTTTCAAGCAGAGGAACCCTGTTCAGTTAGAAGTTCATGAAATATCAATTGACCCCAACTTGTCAATGCAAGTGCAGTTTGTTTATGTCTTGCCGCACGCACCCTCACTGATAGTCTCTGAATTACTTTGACAAACAATTCACTGATGATATATTATGATAAGGTAAGATAAGGTCAGATAAAATAAGATTATACACAGTAGATAGATACGGACATGGGTTGATACCATAGGCCTCCGACTGAGCAGATTCACATCCCCGAAACAGCACATGTTTTTAAAGAACTGGGGCACTGTGGCACCAGGTCTCCCGTGATGGAGGTCACTGATGGGGATGTGGCTGAGTCTGACTGAACCAGAAAGGACCATGGAGAACAAGGATGATAAAACAAATCGGGTTCAAGAGAAACAATGGTTCATCATTGTTCGAAATGGGTTTCTAACGGATTAGTCTATATCATGTTGGATGACATCTCCATGTTTGGTGGTGTTGTTCCTTAGTTTAGCGAAGTAGGTGAGTGGCTCCTGAAATCCTGTTCCTTTTGTTTGAGATCCTGCAATTGCTTGAGACATCCAGAAGGATTGGTTGGTCAAGAAATGTTCAATCTCCGTAAGTTGCCATCTCTACTTCTTTTCTGATGCCGAACAAGTCTAAGTCTTGAAGGCACTGCATTCACACCCAAGTCGACTAGATATATAGGCGAACACACCCAGTGTACTTTTCTTGACTTGGCTTATCTAAATACACCTCCTGAGGCGGTCATATCCATTTCTCGCCTTTCTGACGTTTAGTGTGAACGCCCTGGAACTTTGCTGCATGTTGAGAAATAGCAATAAAACAGCTTTGGAAAAACAATATATTATATATATGTTTGTCATACAAAAACTATCTCTAGTTCTCTTAAGAGGGTCCCCTCGCCATTGGTCCAGGGTAAAGCGATATACGTGACCAGGTGCCTCCTGGGAGATGGAACATTGGTTGCTTCTCCGTCGGCATGTGAAGGCTGGACGCGAACAACGGCTGTGGCTGTGAGAGGTTGTTTTGCTGCTGGAGCGGTAACTTTTGGGTTGCCCAATATGCAGAAGTTGTTTCTGCACTTGGCTACTTGACTCTAATACGTTTCACAGAGGGTTTTTTTCTCCGTAATTCATGCGAGGTTTGTGTGTGTATGCATAGCTTACCTGCAGCACGATTCGATGCAGAATCATGTTCAATCCACATTTGAACTGCTTGAGATGGGTGTGCCCAGAAATTGAACACGTGATTCATCATGAAATGGGAGGACTGTAAGATTGCAGAATTTTGATGAATTTTGCCATCAATTGCACCAAGGCCAAAATCTCCCAAGTGTTTCTGCCAAGAGCCCCAGATTGCTCCTTTGGGGAATGGGCCAATCAGTCGGGCACGGATCATGTGTGGCTGGTGAATCTTTCCAGCACCGATAGCCTTTCGCAGCCAGGTTCCGGAAGCAGGGCCCTCAGCATCAATGGGTGATTGTATCTGATGGTGGTTGATAACTCCTGGTAACCATGGGTGGGTAGCCTTGGATTTCCGGGATTTCCATGATGTTTGTTTCCAAGTAGTCAATGACTGTAAAAGACTCCGATCTTTTGGGATTCCCATGGTGTCCAACTTTTCTGGTCAAGTCCTTGAGACAACTTCTGCCAACTGGAGGACTTTAAGGGATTTTCTATAGGCATTGCTTCACCACCGAGTGCCCTTAAAGATGGGATGGTAATGCGCTACCACATTCCTTCCCAGTTGCGTGGATCTGATGTGGACCTGTAGTTTTCAGTTCTTTGTGACATGATTTTTGTTGCTCCCATCATATCTATATATATATATATTGAAATCTGAGTTTTGTTCTTGTGTTTTTCCCTTCAACATGTTGTGTTGACAGTACACGTAAGGGATACTACGGAAGTATTGTCAGTTCCATCATGACACATCACTCCAGCCCATTCCTTCTGGGAACCCACCTACTTGGAAGTACATAACCGAAGTCGTAGCTGCATAACCTTAACGAAGAACGGGGGTCGTCCATCTATAGGTGAACTAGCCATGGCCATGCTTCCTATTCGGTCCTATACACCAGGAAGAATATGAGATTCACATCCAGCTAATCTCCAGCGACTAAATATATAATTTATAAGATTCTATAATTATCTATCTACATGCTTCTACATGGCCAAGAACATTGATTCCTCCCGTATACATATATATATATATGAGATATATATATATATGATATATATATATATGATATATATATATCCACTGATGTTAGTTGGGAGACCCCCACGCCAAGGGCTTGGCGAAGCCGGGCATCGCAGTGAGTCCTCCCAGCACCTTGTTGGAGATGGCGTTGCCGCTGGACGACCAAGGCGACGTGGTTGACGTCACGGAAGGATGGTGAACTGTATGGATTTACCAAGCAAAAAAGGATAAAAAATGGGGGTAGCTTAGAAAAAATCATGGGGTTAGCTTGATTTTATGATGTTATATGTATGTAATTAGGGGAGTTCAGCCGAATCAACCAATGGAGAGTTTTGCCAGAAGCATCTCGTCTAAACACACAAATGGAGCCTTCTTTAAGCAAGCTAAACACATCCTGATTTTGACGTGAACCAACTGGATATTTGAAACTCATCTCAAAAGATGAAGCCAGCATGTGAAGGCCTTTCCTACTTAGCCAACATGTTTTGAAGCCTAAATCGCCATGTTGGTCGAGCATTGCCCCACCTGTCAGGTGGATTCCAAGCAGGACGAGGAGCCCAGCAGGCGAAGCATGGCAAAGCCGCTGGGAATTTGATATGGTTATTGACCACTTACAATAAATTGGTTAAATGGTAGAATATAGCTATGGATCAATACCTATTAATACCATTTTTAGGGGGATGAACATCCATTTAGCAGCTATTTTGATGTTCACCAGGGGTACAAGGTTTTGACACACTGCCATATATCCCCATTGACCAGTTAAAGTTGGTTAAAGTATGTTAAAGTTCTTTTAGTCAATGGCGATATTTAGTGTAATTGGGATATAGTTGGGATAAAACGCCGACATGTGTATATTTAAAGGTTATGGCAAAAATCCAATCACTAAAATATTTTTTTGTATAAAATGTGTACATTTATGTATGTCTACGATCTTGGTTTTCCCGTTTGTTTATTATTCGTAGACCACCAACATGGGGATTGCACAGGCAACGATAAGGGTATCAGTTCCAATTTCTGGTTGATGGTTTCAAACCTTGGTTTAATCAACATTAAATGGTGATGTTACCAACAAACGCGCATATAGCCAGCAAAAATATGGATATATAGACATTTAATACGGGTAACAATTGATAACCAATGCAAATGGTCGTTAGCAAACAAAAACGCTGGATTTTACCGCAAGAAAGGAGGTATGATTCAATGATGAAGGGATTCCTTGATGAATCTTGTGGGTTCCCTATCTGAGATGATCCAAATTCGCTAGTTTTGTGTAGGATGGATTGAAACCACCAGACTTGAAAATGGATGTAGTCACTGGTTATCCCGTGATCCCCCGCTAGGCCAGTGGTGACCACCAGTTTCATGGCACCATCAACCACCATCAATCATTTTCACTGCTGAAGGGCATGGATTCGATGGATTTGAGGGTCTGGGATTTTGGATGTATTGAACATTATCCATGGATTTTGTGATGATTCATGAATCAAAAAATGGGGGATAGCTAGACACCTCCAGGATCATGGGTTGATGTGGGAACATGTATCCATAGCTACCAGCGAAATTTGTTGGTGTGAAAAACAGCAGTACCAGGGTGAGTTTACCCATAGCGAAGTGGATTGAGTTGGGTTGTCACCTCAACTATGGGCGAAAGATTGGCACTGAAATCACTAAAACTCTAAAAAACAACACCAAAATGCGACTGGATCTGGACCCTTGCGGGCATGGATGGTTTCAAACATGTGTTTGGCTCACGAAGAAACCATTACAGTAACCATCACCATGTGGAAGGTTTATGTCGTGAGATGATACCCAGTGAAATTCAATCTGCGCTTTGCACAATGACGCAAAAAAAAAACATGAAGCGATAACAGTTTCTTTCAGTCTTGAGATTGGTTCAATATGTCACAAGTTCGAGAATATTATTCCAGGTGAAATACTTAAGTCATTTCACCCTAGAAATAGAAGTAGCAACACGCCCATCCTCACCTGGTGCCATGGCAGGTCTTTGCATTTCTGCCAGTCCGTTCCTACGGTCTGCCCTTTGCACTGCAGGCTGCCAGGAATCCCAGGAATCCCGTTGTGCGGCAGAGGTTGGTGGATATGTGTCGACCAGAAATGGATAGTGGATTTACCATGGATAGAAACCACCAATAAAAATTGCCAAGAGCAATGGAACATGATGAAGAATGATGGTAAACTGCTGGATTATGTTGATATAGCATGATATAGCCTAGTTTGAGACATAGCAACATAATCAGCCATCTGAAATTGAAAGTGTGGGAAATGGCCATGGACAGTGACTGGCACTAGAGTACATACATACATATATATATAGATAGGTATATGGCTATGAGTCAAAACCCTGGTACCTAGTGAACCCCAAAATAGCTGGTAAATGGATGTTCATCCCATTAAAAATGTATCTATAGGTATTGATCCATACCCATATATTATACATGTATATCGATGGCTAAACCGAGGATTGGGCCGTCTCTTCATCCAGGGAGGAGATCTTGTCAGGCTGCGCCTGGAATGAGTTCCTCAAGGCGGGGTATTTTCCTGCTGGGACCTCAAATGTTGTTTAAAGAATCATGATTTTGCTGGCAGCTGATGATTAGAAAGGTGCAAAGAACCTCTATTGGGTAGACGGACGGGTGAATGGTTGGTGGATGCACTGACTGTGACGGTAAATGCAACCGTTGTCCCTAGGTATAATGATGGATGACAATGGATCGCTTCAAAGTTATAAGATATTATCTACGTTCACAACCTGAGATGTCACCACGATTTTGGAGGCTGCAATTCAGTCATCACGCAGCAGCTGCTAAATCCTGAAATGATGCCGCGGGTATCCCTGAAGATGATTGACTTTGAGCCCACAGGGTCTGTTTGATTCTTGAACTTATGACTCTGAGTAGTTGGTGGATTCAAATCTGTGATTGCATGATCTGAGTTGACCAAGTCCTTCGTGGAACGAGTCATCCCATGCATCTCCCAGACAGGAGTTGCTCGTTGGAATAACCACAGTCAGTGTCCAGTGAAATCCACCTTAGAGCTGGCATTTGCCAGGGTATCATGTTTGAAAATGGGCGTGTGTGAAAATAGGGATTATGATACATTATGATAACAAACCACTGGGCTTGGGATACCCCATGATACCCCAGTGTTTAGACAAAGCCATATATGGGGGTAAAGGCGTAGTTTGGAAATGGACACATTAGCAAGTTCTGGAATCTTGACTCATGCCCTATCCAATAAATGCGAGGTTCATGATTTTGAGATACTCCATCATATCCCATTACATCTGCCATAATATATATATATACATATGCACATGTACAATGTACCCATTATATGGCAACAAATGTGTGCCATATCCAAATTGTAGCTTGGCAAAATGGTATCCAACTGCCCAATGGATACCAGCCAGGCGGAACTTCCGAACTTGATCCTGACATTGGTCTGAGCCCAAGCCAGGTTGGCAGGTTGGTAGCTGGGTAGACCTTGATGAATCTGTGAATCTTTCTAGGTTAACTTTCCTAATTCATTGTGCACCATTTTATAGATATAAGTGCTGATTTGGATTTACGTAAATCAACCACAATTGGTCCTCATCCGGATTGTTGATGGTTTACAGATGACATTGCAGGTGTATTACCGATATTTCCAGCTAGAATTATGTTCTGAACCCACCAGCCAGTCACTTACATGCACATTATGTATCAGGCTGATTTAATCAGGCTGAATCGAAATAACCAAATTGCTTAGTACCCCCCCAGCTTTAATCATTTTTACATACCTAGGTTAGTCCAAATATTGTGTATAATATACCAAACACAAACACAAGCAGAAAAAAATGATGATTAGCACTTGCCTGTTGGTGGTTTTTCTTTTCTTGATATCCATCCCTATACAGCACATGTTTTTTGATGTGATGGCCCCAGTTGACCAACATCCCAGGTGTCCTCGGTAACCTCGCTGAATGCCTCGGATCCACTGAAGTGGAGCTTCTACAGTGCGGCAGGGGAACCTGAGTTTGTTGCGGAGTTTTGTAAAGGGGTAAACCCAATAAGAAACTCTCCCCAATATCACCAGAAAGGATGAACCCTCCAAAAATGCTAGGTTTCATGATTATTGGGTTTACCACATTAATCTCATCCCCCACTATGAGTATCTATTGTGATCTATTGTCTAGAAAATAAAAATGGGCGCTCTATGGCGGGTGTTTTTAATCATCCGGTCTAATTTGCAATTATCTTGTTGCATTGACTTAAGTGAAGCTGAACTGATTTGCTTATGACATTTAGCTCATTTGTGGCCCCCAATAAAGACCCCAAATTCAACGAGACACATGTGGCGAGGTGTGGTACTTATTATATAAACATTATGTATCATTATGATTCATTATGTGTATACATATTTACATCTAAATGCACATTGTTTCATGTTTCTATATCTGAATAGATTTTTGCAGACGGTAACATTGGTGGAAAACCCAGGTTCCTGCCGCCACTTCGGCCAGCAACTTCTTCAGGCCGTGGTGACCGTGGCCGTGACGTGGGGAATGGGTCGGTAGACCATTGATTTCTGGGGAATGCCGTGGAAATAGGAGAGGAAACAGAACATTTTTCCCATCTTTTGTTTGGAATGTTTGTTTCGAATAAGAAACCATTTAGACATGGGGAATTGGCTTATTCTATTCCACAGATACGAACCTGTATTCGAAGCCCTCCACAGATCCCTGCCCGTTGTGGCTGGGGAATTATTTGTTTGTCTTTTTGTTGCAATCGGTAAACGAACCTGGCCGCAAATCAAAACGATTGTTTTTCATTGCCAGGTTAATTCACTGGAGGGGTTCACCAGTTTGGTGGCTATGCGTCTTTTCACCGTGGTGCCTTTCTTTTCACACCGTCATTTAGCAGTTACTAGATGGATGATCATCTCGCTACTTCTCGGATATATCGGGTTTGATCCATTCCTATTTGGATTGGTGTTGACAATGGGATGTAAGTAAGCCATTTTGTAGTGTTTCTTTGGTGGTGCAGAACGTTCTTAAACGATGATGTCCTCCCTTTTGTAGGGTGATGTTCATTTTTTGTTGAGTTTTGTTTGCAAGATCCCTGTTTTTTCCAAGATCCCTGTTTGGTTGGATATATCTCAACTTCTTGCGTTTTGTTATGATATTATACTTGAAAAATGTCTATACGCATTCGTTTGTTCGGCAACCCCGGTTGTTTGGTGCTTCTATGACGTTCCCATGACTTGCTGGAAAGCATTGCGAATTGTGCGCCGGGCCAGGCCTGCAATCGTTCAGCTGCAGAACAAGTTGCGAGGTCGCGAGCCGAGTCGGTTAGCTGTTCACGGTGAGCTCAGTGAACTGCCTGCAGAACCCTGCGGGGGAAAAGCATAGTTATCTTTTAAGAGGGAATTAAGTTCAATTGCCAAGCTTGATTGCTGGGGGGTATTTGGGGTAAAAGTGGATGACAATAGATTCAACAGCCATAGCATGCCATAGCAAAATATAGCATTTTGGGGGGGTGTAAAACACTGCCAACCACCTCAGGGACGAAAGTTCGTCTCACTTGGGGACGAATGAATGGACAGTCCGCTTGAGTACGAAAACCACCATGTGAAAGATGATCACCGCCAGGAAGGTTCACGCCATCATGCGTACTGACTAAGACAATAACACATTGCATTCGAAGCGTGGTATCCGGAGGTGGTAAGTTTAAGATAGTTTAAGTTTAACCGATCTTTACTGATCCAGACTTTTGCATGACTTTGTTTATCAACGTGCAAGGCTGCCAGAACACAGTGCATCAAATACTAATACAGTATATACTGATATTGGGAAGGCTGACAGAGAGAATGTGATGATGTCCTCTTGGCAAAACACAGCCATGATCACGATTCCACACTGAACCTGTTTCTTACCCACCTTCCAACTAGCCGTAACTAGCCCTTGGGTTGGTCGTGGTTTGGTTGGACTGAAATGCACTGACTATCCCCAATCATCGCCAATCCCTGCCAGGGGTGGAATGTATGCTGACGGATGAAGACTCCTTCTGTTTGCCGCAAAAAGTCAGGGACCCGAGGTTCCGTTGTGCAATGCTAAGACTGCTAAGATCTTTGCCAGATCAGGCTATCAGTCTGTAACGTGCCTCTGCTTTGAACTACGCCTTTATATGGCGAGCTTACTGGGAGGACTGCGCCAGTTGGCAAATTTGCTTTCGGAAGAGTTTTCATGACTGAAATCAGCAGCAAGGAAAATGCAGGGGATGCTGGTTGGTGAATTCAATGCTGGCCAATCACTTTGGCAACAAGCAGAACAAAACAGTAGATAACAGTAGCATGGATCACTTTGAGACCCAAATGTATACAATAGAATAGAGGAGGCACCAATACGCGAAGACTAGCAAGACATTGTTTTATACCCTCCAGTAATCTATCTAGTTGAATATGTAGATATACATGTGCCAAGGAAGATTATGAATCAATTCCAAAATGGTGACTTGTTCACATCTATATATTTGATAGTTGATATGGTTGCTTGGTGTTCATATCTGTAGTTTTCCAGTCCACAAGATCTGATCCCAATGGCAATTACTTGCTGGTCGAGACTGCAAATATGCCGGTCATCTGTTTGGACCTTCGATGTGCGTACTCCTTCTAACAGGGGATCGAATGGAACATCACTCCCACGCTTTAGGTCGGTTGCGGAACCATAGAAGCTAGCAGTTAGAAGAACGGGGCACGCATGCCAATTCATACAGAAAATAATGTTCGAAACACCACATTTGACTGCTTGGGAGACAGGTTGAAAGGAAAAAACAATTAAAAACCCTTCCAACATGTAGTGGAGATCTGCTGTTGGCTGTTCCCCAATATAATATATATATAATCATGGTGGCTGAAATCCTGAAGCCATGGCAAGACTCCCATTGATGGCAAAGCTACCATGTTTGATTGGTTTTAATTTTATCCATGGGTTAAAAACAATATTATTATTTATATATATATATATTATGTATATAGATATATTATATACATATGTATTCTATAAATTCAGAAGTTATATCATAGTTTTTGCGTTCTACGAGCCATTTCCAGGTAGGATATGTTCATCATTTCGCTGCTCATTCGGAGCTCCGCCATGAGGCCATCCGTTGTCCTCCAGAGGCCATGGTGGCACTGGTGGCACTGGTACCATGGTGTGTTGATCATCAAAAAATGCATGGTTTCACCGCAAAAACGGGGATGGTAGCCAAACATGATGTGTATAATACGGATAGAGTTGGATATATACATGACACATAGTGTATACCAATAAATATGACATTTGGGATTCTCCAGAAAATGGCGCACTTACCACGCTTGATGGCTGCTGAAATGCGTAATATGAGAATATGATGGTCTAAACCATGGCAAGGCATGCACATGTCCTGTCTTCAGACAAAACAGTCTGCTTAGATGGTCTGTTCTTATGCCACATTGTTGATGGGTGTCAAACGTTAGCCATGCATTGGCCACAAGTGGCCCTGTTCCTTTTGTTTTTTTTTGGTTGTTGTTGCTGTTGTTGCTGGAAAACAATGGAAAACAATCGAAACCAATAATTACCCAATCCTTTTTGACAGATTTACTGGTGTTGAGATGTTTTTCGGAACCTTGAATCATACAGTAATGGAGCGCTGTGCGCCAACAAAAATATTAACGCTGGAGACCGGTGCCTTGAAGCCATCAGGCGCGGCGGTGTTTGGGACCTGGCAGTCCCTTGCAGCAAGCCTTGCGTAGCCAAGGCGGAAACGCAGTGGAGCGGTGGAAGGGCCTTGGAAAATTCTGAGTTTACTACTTTTACAGACTTTTACAAACTTTTACTATGCTGTTACTATCCCAAATGGGGAGTGTATGGGAATGTAACATGACTTAACCAGGAAATATTGAGGTTTTCTGTTTTTTTCTGACCATTTGGATCCATTTGGATTGTTTTGGCATTTGGCCTTTGGCGACCGAAAATTGAGTAGCAATGGACCCACAAAAAATCGGTCCTTACGTGGCAAGTGATCTTGGCCCCCGTTGCGTCGAGGTTTGCACTTGCTACATGAGAAGGCCCTGGCAGAGTTGGAGCTTGGGCGAGCCAGAAGTGGGGATAAAATGGGATAAAGGTGTTTTTAAGAATTTGACGGGTTGTTGATTTGTTGTTCGTTTGGTCTTACGTCCTACTTTTGATGATGATTCCAATTCAAAGTAATTTAAATACGACACCGGAAACGATTATATAAGCCTCGTTCCCACAGATTTTCATAGTAAGAGCTTATTTTATGCATGTTTCTTGGTAAACAGCCAGTCCACCTACTTCATCCAATTGCTCGCTTCCCTAGAGTATGAGCTCCCAAAAAATCATGTCGGCTTGCTCCCACAATGACCAACGGACGTGTTTCCCAGAAATTTTAGGGCTAGATTCTATCAAACAAACCACAAAGAGTGGATGCTAAAAAATAGTTTTTTTAAAAAAACTAATGATTTTCCGATTTCCTGGTGGAGGTGGAAGCCTATGCACCCGCGGGTTTGCTGGATAGTCCCTTGGCAAGACAAGCATGGCCAGTGATGTCTTTACCCCCCAAAGAATTTTCCGCCAGATCGCCACATTGATACAGGGAAAGGTACACTTAAATCCTGATGTGTGATGGTCAAACTACCATTTTTTCGGAGTTAATTCCATTGGTTTTTCTGGTTGAACCGCAATTTTGCATGGTAAAACTGCCATGTTTTCATGGTTCCCAGATAGCACTGGGGCGCGGCTTCCAAGGCTTAGGCGTTTTGCGGCTCAACGCTTCGCAGTTGCTACGTCTTCTGCCAAATGTGGAGGCAGTCAGGGATGGTTTGGATGGAGGGAAATCATCCTTACATGGGATATCAATCTAGGGAAATACTGTTATATACTGATGATAAATATATTTATACTTATTTATAATATGTTTATAATGATTTATAAGATTTTTATAATTATATATATAACCACTAGTTATCATTTACATTAACCAGCCAACCAAATACTAATAATCTGATGTATGGGTGTGTCTGAAAATGCGAAGGTCACTTTCGAAGGGATGATGATTGACCGATCTATTTACGGGTACCATATTTTCAGACAAACTTCTTCGATTCCTTTGGTTAATGATTCTATATTAGAAAGGCTTGTGATCGCCTAGTATTTGGGGTTCTTGATAAGAAACTAGGATCAAGATTCTCCACCGTGGCAGATTGAAACCAATGGTTGGGGATTGGAAGGGGATGCTGCAGTTGGCCAAACCATTTTCACCAGGACCCTTACGGTACACTGTAAGAATCCTAACATCTATATTTGGAGCTTTGATGGTATGAAATCCAAACCTGTAAAGATGCCAAACCTTTCTCTTCCTGTTGGTTCTAAGGCCCTAGGGACCTAGGGCCCTAGGGGCTGATGGAGGTCTCATGTTCCCTGACTCAACATGTCAGGATTTCCCCGGCATGTCCTGGTGGCGCCAACTGCTAGCCCTCCTGGACGGGGGTTGGACTGGATGGGAAATGAGCAGTACTCGAATTCTCGGTTGCTTGATGGTTATGTATTGTTATGTTTGGCCTTACACCAACTGATTTAATGGAGATGGTATTTTGGGAATCCCTGTCAACCAACCAGAAGAAGTGCTTGAAAGAAACCCAAGATGAGGTACTTGCACATAAATCAGACGGCCAATAGCAACACAAAAACTTATTGGTCATATGCCCAAATCTACATGTCGTCTAGTGCTGCTTTCAGCATCTTTCAGCCACGAAAACAAGCCAACATAATGAACATAAAAAGGCGGCCCAAACACCGACCGGCCAGCAAGCTTAGGGAACATTTGTATAGTTCAAGAAGGGTTTTGCATTGTTTGGCGATTGATCCTTTCATCATTCTATATCATTCTGCATGGGTGGAATTCACCCTTCACTAACTTTCCATGTTTTTTTTCTCATTAGTTGATTAGTATCCCAAAAAAAACATGTTGGATACTGGTTGGTATCCCCAAAACATGTTGGTTACTACAGCGCAGTGCTAGGACGAGCTGTTGGACCTGGCGCCCAAGAACGACTTGGCGCGGCTGGTGGAGGCGGTGACTTTATTGAAGAATCATGATGAAACAATGGGAATATTTGAATTCTGGAGGCTATGCGATTAAAAAAACCCATGAGGCTAGATTTTTTTTATTATGAAATGATGGGTTTCATGATAAATAGCAATGATTGGAGATGGTTATTGATGAAGAATTGGCTGTTAACTAAGCAACATAGGGAATTTTTGGGATTATTTGATTGACAACAAACGGGGGATGTTTAGTAATTATATCAATTGATGGGTTTCGTTGATAGTTTCAGATCTTGATTTAACCATCCATGCATGGGAATGCAGCCAAAATAGCCAAAATGGGGATATACCATGATATACCCACTTAAGACAAAATATAAAATGAAACTGGTCCCTTCCAAGACTTTTCAGTCCAGATCCCCTCCAGAACCTATCAGTCCAGGACTCTTGCAAACTTTCTCTCCAGCTACCTTCACAAAGTTTCCTTATGGTCCCTATGGGTTCTTTGTACTCGGTATTAAACCCAGGACATCCCAGGACCCTCCAGCAAATAACTCCTCTCGCAACCTTTGGTTTGCTCCATAGGCCGGTGAGCGCCATCTGTTGAATTTGGAGGTGGAACTATGTCAAATATGCCCACTAGATCCACTAGAGATTTGTCTTTTATGTTTGTTTTTCCGCGGGAGTCAACTTTGCAACCTCAGCAATTCTTGAGTTCTGAAGAAAAACTATTGGTATGTATGTTGTGGTTGCAGTAAACCCTAGGTTGGATATGAATACGGTCATTTTATGCTTGTTTACTGTGTATTATTGGGTTGCATTTGATATATTTGCTGACTGTTGGGCAGCAACAGAAACATCTGAAATCCCAATATATTGTCCCAGAATCCCGTTATTATATTTTGCCACATATGCAATCTTTCCATAGTTCCACTGTTGTTTTTAACGATGTTGACAAAATGACCACTTGAGCTGCTTGGCCTTTCCACTTTCCACTTTATATGTTCTTCTTGCTGAGTTCTTACATTCATTTCCTGCCTTAGATTGAAAAGCCCGCAATATTTCTTGGCCGAAAAACTGTTTCAATGTTTCATAGATCTTTCATCATAGTGACAAGTCAATGGCATGCCAGTCCCAGAATTTGGCCATGTATCATGCCATCTAGCCATCTAGCCATCGCCTGTCCTCGCAGGTGGCGCGCAAGCTGCCGTTGCTGCCGGTGCAAGGCGCCTCTTTGGAGGTGTCCGAGGGCTTGGTGCTGCCGCCCGAGCAACCCGAGGCGGGAGGATGGAGGTGATATGAGGTGATTCCCAGTGGATGATGTGAATTTTAGATTATGATAAAACATGATATACAAAAAATAATGTGAATTGTAGATGATGATAGGATTATCACTATTATCCATCATTTATTCAATGAACAATGATTTAATTTGATTTGACAAGTGATGATAGATGATGAACTCATATTTATACTTGAAGAACAATGAAATTTGATCATGTGATAAGCCAACATATGGGGTGTAGGAATGGGGGCATTAGTATCCAAGGGATAGTTTTCGCATATGTGTTTAAACTATCAGTCATTTAGGCTAAGTTTAGTTGTTGATTTCAAATTTGGTTGTAACATGATATAACTAAACCACCAAAGACCGTTAGATATTCAATTAAATTGAAGTGTGACCAACCGAAATAAGGGTTTGGAAAGCAAAGTATATTCTATAGCGATTTCATAGCCAACCAAACACCCATGATATGACAGTGTGACAATGATTGATAGTTGATCTTGGATTGACTGCGAAACGCAGGGGGGCCTACAAAGTTTGTATCAAACTAGAACATGTTTTCCAGGACGCTATAGATTCTAACTTGATTTTCACTTCATGATTTCCAGGGTGCTGACCTTCAAGGCGACAAAGCCACTCATTCAAAGTGGCTTGAAAAAAGCAACCTGATATATCCTAATGTGCGATCCATGATCATCAATAACTAATAAAGCATCCCCAATCATAAGCCACAACAGTTGGGCAATGAACATAATCATTTGCGGGGGGTTTACACAATTTCCTAACTGTGGAACCCGAACCACAAATCTCGGCTACCAGGCCGAAGGCTTTCCACCGGAGCTTCTGGCAGAGCTGCGGGCAGTGGATTTCAGGCGCCGAACTTTCGGGACAGCAGGGGAAAGGGGTTGGATTGCTGGAGGCGGATCACAAGGGAAAAACTGTAGGATTTGAGGGAGTTTATGGCAAGAAGTAGGCTTTTAGTTGTTGGTTTGGGTGAGGTTTGAGAGTTATCAAGAATGTGGTCTGTAGAGAATGCGGATGTTTAAAAGAAGATGAAATGTGTGCGTATGACTTATGAAATAGGGGGAAATCATGAACAACTGAAGGATTTTGCCAATCAGAACGCGGCGGTATGATACGAATGGACGAAATAGGTTGGTACAATGTCTTACTTCCCTCAACCAAATAGGATAATGATGCCCAATGACTTTAATTTTGCAAGGAAGTTACTATAAAATCATATCTTTTGTCATATCCCTCTGAATAGAGAGCGATATAGGAAATCGAAGATGGTGGTTGGACGACCTTCCCCCACGAAAGGTGCTTTGACGGTTGGTCGTCTGCAGCCATTGTATAAGATTATATAAGTGCTATTTAGGATGATGGTTTCAGAGCAAAGTTTGTGACCATATTTTTGCGGCTGTGGTCAGAACCTCCTTTGATTCTATGGTTGGTTTGAGGGAGCATATTCAGGAAACCCATGTATTTGGACTTATTTGGATAGTACAACCATAATATGTTTTCCTTGACATTGCCTCTTAAATCACCACGTGCTTTGTAATAGGATTTTACTCATCCAATCAATATCTCACCATTTGGCGTGCGTGACTGCAATACTCTTTTGCTTTGCTGGGTCGTGGCGTGGTGCCATGACGGTTCTTGATTTGGTTCGATTCCAAATTTTGTTCGGCAACATTATGATTGCTGTTGTTTCAAAGTTACTATGACGGATTCCCAGCAGTAACCGTTTGAGATGGCTAGGACATAGTAGCACGACACTTTGTGTGGGACCACTTGGGCTCAAATCAAGTTGTTTGCATCGCTGATCGAATTTCAGTGCATATGAAAACCAATGCCGAGACCCTGATAACATGCCTTTTCGTGCTTTGCTTCCGAGTCATCTTCTGCCTTGACAATGGACTGGGACGAACCCCTGGCATGGGGTACAATACTTGGAATGACTTTGAATGTGAAGGTGTGTGGCTCACCTGCACCGCTTCTGTTGGACAGGATTTTGCAGGTTTGGTATAAACCCTGTGCACTTGTTTGTTTGGGGCTTTTGGTCTTACTTCATGTTTGAAGTATATAAACATCCCAAGACTGGTATAGGTCAATATATCTCGGGTGCATGTTTGTACATGCTCATAGATCTCATGGGGAATCTTAGAATATTTCTGACATCAAACAACCAAAAACTGAGTTCGTGAAATACTCAAACAATCTCCCCTGTGCCGTATATGCTGACCTCTCCGCCAAGTGAGGTCGGCTTCCAATATTATCAAAGTCGCAGACAAGATGGTGGAGTTGGGTTTTCTGGCCTTGGGATACCAGGATTTGACGTGTCAGTTTTTGTGTCTTGTTTTCTAATTGATTCAACGTCACCTGCAAAGAGGAACTTATATAATTGGAAATTGGGTTCATCGTCTATGTTATATTATATAATTATATACAATAATAATATTATAATATTATTAAATATTATTAATAATAATCATATATAATATTGAACCCCTTACATGACCGCTTGCTAAGCCAAATGAGTTTTGTTTCCTTGGTCTGGTCCCTTCAGGAGATACTGAGGCCATGCTTCAAGTTGTTTTGCGGCCGAATGTCATGTCATGTGTTATTCCATGTTTTGGGCCAGATCAGCGATCCAAGGATACGAGTACCTGGTCATTGATGACTGCTGGGCCTCTGACCGCGGCGAGGATGGTGTGCTGATCCCTGACCCCGCAGCGTTTCCGGATGGGATGAAAGCCGTAGCGGACTATGTTCACTCCAAGGACAGGACCATGGGTTCTCCCATGGGTTTTGTACCGAAAAAATGGCACCTCACTTCATATGGTTGATCATTTTACCCAGTAAAAATACAATTCTATCAATTTGTAAATATATAACTTGGATTAATATAGGGGTATATGGAAAAAGCTACCCCGGCTTAAGTTTTTGGAGAATTGAACAGCCCCCCAATTTGACTGGTGAATAGAAGGTGTTGTTTTGTTGTAGCCATCAATCGGGCGAATCTCTGTCATCCTACTAGACTGTGAATATCTTACCAGAGAAGGACCACTTTTTAGCACATCAACTTGGTTCACCCAAAATCAAGGCCATGTGTTTGGCTTTTGAACACATTTGCCGCGATATAGAACCTAAATTATGGGTGAAACACCCACACGTTTGGTTGCAACATAAAATGGATTGACAGAAATTGTTCAACAATTGTTCAGAAAGTGTGATTAAATTTCCAGAACCGTTGCTTTCAATCCTTTTTTTCCGGTTTGTTTCATCTTTGTTTCATCCGTTCTGGGTGAAGGGCCTAAAGTTCGGCATCTACACCGACCGTGGCTACTGGACCTGTGCGGGCCGTCCTGGCTCTGCGGAGTTTGAGGAAGTCGACGCCAAAACCTTCGTGCAGTGGGAGGTGGACTATGTCAAAACGGACGCTTCGTTGGGAAAACGTTGGGGAAAGGATGGAAAGGTCACTGGAGGTGTGATGTTTCACCACACAAAGATAAAGATGATGTTAATAAGGGGTTCAATGGTTGGAATGGGAGGGTTCAATGATGAAACTCGGGATTTCAAAAATATGAATGGGATTGAATGGGGCGGGCGATAGGAAAGGAAATTCAAGTTTGAACGAACGAATAACGACAAAGATTCGATAGACCCTGGTGAATGTGTTTTGTGTTTAGTATTTAACAGAAGTGAGCTGCAAGAAGTCGGGTTTCAGCAACAAGATGCTGTTTGATCAATGGGGCCTTCAAGAATCAACATGGTGGGTGGAAAAGCGACAAGCACAAGGATTGAAACACGGAAAACTTTGATAGCCAACGCAATTTCTGCTTTGTTTTACCAACCAAACACTGGGTTCCAGTTTCAATCCCATTTTCAACCGAAAGAAAAGGTGAGAATCATGTTGAGAAAACAGAAAGCATGACCACAAATGATACGGCTAAATATGGGCCAAAACCTGGTACCCTGAACAGCGAACTAACTGGATGTTCATCCACATTCATCCACCTAACCACCTAAATACTTGTACCGCTACCTAATACTCGAAGGGTATCATAGGTCTCGACCCTTCTCCATATGAAAGATATCGTTGAGATGGTCACAAAACATCCAGGTTTGGGGTTGGCAGGGTACAGTGAGTGGCCTGGTGTTTTTCAAGGGATCTCCCGTGCTGGATGAATTCTCAGCCATGAATGGTGCTCTGTGCATGTGCGTCATTACTGGGTTTTGGTAGGCAAGACACGCCACTTGCAGGGTTTCAAAGATGCTGGTTTTGACATTCCAAAAAGGGCATTGTTGCAATTTAAACTGTACACAAGGCCCCCGTTCTGCCAATTGATCAACACCAAGAGAGATCTGCCACGAACACGGCAATGTTCCTAGTTGCAAACTCAAACGTCCGAGCGACATGGGGACAAGTAACTGAAACATACTGAAACATACTGAAACTAAGTTTCTTATAGTTTCTTGACTTTTTTCGGTTTACTTTTCCGTATCACCGAGAGTGGAATTGCATGGAATTGCTATCCGATGTTTCGCTGAGGATTCCTGCAATGGCCCGGACTCTTTAGAGGACCAACCATCTCATGAGGCCATCCGGCAGTATGAGCCTTGGTGACTCATGGGTTCGTCAAAAAAGGGATGACCTGCCGATTTATGGCATGTGAATAGTGACAATGATCATAAAAATGGTGGATGCCGCAGAAATTAATGAAAATTATGGTGATTTCAATCCAGGACAATGATGATCGACCATTTTTTCATATTTTTTCTCTGCGGGTGTTCCCCACTTTTTTACCAGACAATCCTGCATGTTGGGGATGGGTCACCTGAAGCAACCTGGAATTTAAGATGGTTGATAAGTGACTAGGGGTTGTGTGATTTATCAGTGATTACCAGGGTAGTGTATCTCAAGGTATCCCGATGATGACAAAATTTCTAGCAGCCACCAAGAATTATTTTGGATGCAGGTGTATGCTATTATATATATACATAGACAGTATATCATATATACATTCATTATATTTTTGATTACTCTTATAATTATATATATACATAGAATGACATCATTTATACATATATGATGCTTGCATGTTCACTATACTTCTGACCCATACTCCCCACCATCTCCCGCTTTTTCAAGGAACTCTTCCGAGATGCCCTAAGTGCCAGTGGCCGTCCGGTGTATTTGGCGCTGTCGGGCTGGCACAACTGGTACAGTCCCTACGGTGCGAGCTTGGCGAACTCTTGGAGGGTGGGCTATGATGTGCGAAATTGGAAGAGCCTTTGGTGAAAAACTGGAACATTAAACATCATTAAACTGGTTCAACCTCCTAACAGTGCCGCCCCAAGAATTGATGGGTGTTATTAAGGGCTTAGGATTTGGGGATAGAGTTCTTCACTGCCAACCACGACTATGACGGCGAATCTTAAATGTTAACCATCTATGATTGCCAAGGGTCACGTTTGGCGGAGTTGAATCCCCATGATTAAATGCTCCAGCGAATACAATTGACCTAGGTCCTAGGTGGCAGTTGGGTTGCAACCCTCTGTCACTGGGATGTATCGAGAGGCTCATCAAGGGAGATATCAAGTTGCAGCTGGTAGTTACAGCCTATCACTTACTCCTTTATCTTATTTTGTTTGTGGTCAAACCTTCCAGTTCATATGGATTGACATTGATATCCCAGTGATGGCCATCGATGGCCCGAAAACCCAATTGGTTCCTTCGATATGGCCCTACTTCTCATCTGATTCATTCACAGCAGCTACTACATTAGCTGAAAATCACTTTAGATTGACCATCAACTGAATCTAGTACTTGTAGTGATTGTAGTGTTAAGCTTATAGTCTTGGATGTGTTTTCCCCAGTTCCAACAAGGAGTGCCTGGAACTTTGCCATACGCGTCAATGCCTTTCTGGCATCTTTTGCTGGGCCTGGTGGCTGGAATGACCCAGAGACTCAGTGATTATTTAGCCAACAAACATGATGTTTCAAACTGCCGGTGAAATTAAGATTTAATCGGCCAACATTGTGGGATTTGATGAGAATACACTAGGCATTTAACCAACAAACACACACAAGAAATGGAGGCTGGCAGTGTGAAAACAGGGATTTGGCCAGAAAAAGATGTGAATGATTGTGACTGTATATAGGCAGCAATGGAGATTTATGGCGCGACAAGCGGGGTTTGAGCAGCAAACGTGGAAGTTATGGAGTTTAAGAAAGCAGCAAGATCGGGACATAAGCCACGAACATGGAGATGCAGTGGTGCAATCAGCAAAAAATATCCCCCTTGACTGTACCTGTATGGAATGGAAGAACCCATGCCCCGTATGAAATGGAAAAACCAACATCATTTCATACACGGCCCATCTTGGAAAACGGGGCAAAAAACCCTTAAATTTTGGTACCATGTTGCACCCCTCCATTTCACACAAAACGATGGTAATTCCATTACATACAGCTGCATTTTTCTTTGGAATCATTAGTCCCAAAATCGGCATTTCCATAACATAAATGTTGTTTGCTATTTTTTGGAAGGTTCCAGTTTGAACACTTACGGAAACTTGGAGATCTGTTAATCAAATGGAAGTTTCTTTCAGCGATCGATGTCTTGAAAATGAACCACTGAATGTTTGAAAAGTGATTGTGGATAAAACATACAAAAAAACATAGATATATATATATATATATATAGATGTATATAAGATTGTGGATAATAACCACAAATAACCCACATAACCCATAAAACAACACATAACCCATATAACCACATATAATCCATATAACCAAGTATAGACGTGACATTTCTCATTTTCTCGTTGTTTCCCCCTGTTTGGTTACCCGTTGTGTTACCCCGTTGTTTTGTCCCGGTGTGAATCCCATCGTGTTGCCCCGTCCCTGCTGGGTCGAAGTCCTCGAGCCATAAGAAGTGTATAAAATGGATAAATCATGAAAAGTCTAGTATTTGAAACACGAAATACAGAAACAATAGAAGAATATCCATTTTATACACCGAAATGTGGGGTAAACATATATGGAAGACGTTCCATTTCATACAAGGGGAATTTCACAAACACCTATGTTGTTTATAAAATGGATCGTTCTGGTATGTTAACGTGTCCGAACATAAACAATAATTTTATCTTAAAATATCTTAAGGTACCTTAAAATGACCCCCTCAAAAAACAACCAATTCCATAATATACAAGTCAAATTTTCTTGGTTTCAAGAGCTCATTTTTTTGCCATTTCCATAACATACTGGCGAAGCATTTCTTTGCATATCCGGCCTGCTAGGTAGTACAATGGTGGTATTCCATAATATATAAGCCCAAAAAAGGATCCATTCTATACAAATATACCTGTACCCAACCATTACATAAACCAGGTTTTTATGGAATGGTGGGGCACGGGTTCCTACCCATCAATCAAGGGGGATCAAAAAATATGTAAAGATTACTGTACATCAACAACATGAGGGTATAACATGGTATAACCTGAAAAATAGTGACACACTCTTGGAACACCAATAAGTGGTTCGTGGTATTCAACGCATTTTGAGTTTGACTGAATTAAACAATATTAAACACTGGAATCGGCAGCACGCTCCTACTGGCACAATAGCCAACTAAAGACAATGGGGATCTTACTCTCGCAATTAGGGTGTTTCATCATTAGAAATTGGACACTACTCTGAAATGACCAACACACATTTTTATATTTGGTGGGGTGAAGCAAATTGATTCTATTTGCGTGGTGTCTTCGGAAGCCCTTTGCTGGTTTGATAACATCCAACCCATGGATATCCATGGCTGTGGCTGTGGAGATCCCGTTGTGTGCTGAGGATATGTTGGTTGGTTCCTCGGAGCAGGCGAAAGTGCGCATGACTCCCCAGCAGTCGCGCACGCAGTTCTCCCTATGGTCGGTCATGGCGGCACCGCTGTTGATTGGATCTAGCATGTTGCTGGATGTAAGTTTAATTTCCAAGCATATTTGGAATGATGATCCCAACTGTTTTTCTTTGTTTTTTTCGGGAGGGTTGAAACCACCAACCAGTTGTAGTCTTTTCTGTGAATGGGGTGGACACTGACCTTAAATGGGAATCCATGCTACACTTTGGAACCGCTCGAATGTATAGATCTGGGTGAATTATAACGACCTCACTGCGACCTCACTGGAATGATGGTTAGGAAGCAGAATTACCCCAATCTAATTTTATATAGTGATTTTTTACAACTTACCCAGATACATGTATTTTAGTAAGGGTGTGGCAAATGACCCTATCAAAGGCTGTACAGATGCCCTAGTGAGTTTGGTGGATCAAGAATAACTGTGGTTTTGTATCTCTGTGATTGGACTGATTTTCTTTAAAAAGTTGGCGATCTTTCGGAACTGCCTCCATCACTAAGGTTATCCATGAGTCCACACGATGTGGAAACTTACAGCAACAAAGAAGTGATTGCCGTGGATCAAGACGCCTTGGGAATTCAGGGCCAGATTGTTTGGGAGAACTGTCCCTGGCTGGTAGTTCGAAGCACGTTTTTTCCAAACGATGTTCCACCAAGCTTATTTGGGATGGCGGCTCGAACTCTTCTTTTTTTCCTGATCACTCATCAAAAACTGTGATGATCCCAATCCCAATTGATCTTCATCTGGCCGCAGCATGGTGGCGCAGCAGGTCCCTTGCGGAAACGCGCCAACATCAAGCAGAAGCAGTTCTACGAGGAGATCCCTAGCTGCCAGCAGGTCTGGGCCCGCCCCTTGAGCGGCGGCAAATTTGCGGTTGTGACTTGGCACAATGATGAGGAATCCTAGGCCCCTAACAACAATAGCTATTTAGTGGTTAGGAAGGAGCAAAGTAGCTATGGGTATCCATATTCCCTGTATATATACCCTATTAAATGGAAAGCAAAGGAGCTAATTAATCACATGGTAGAGATTGAAGATGATGGATTTAGCTGACCAAAATGGATGGATATTCGCATATCATATTTGAATCCTGTATCGATCTAGTCAATATAGTTGCAGTTGGATAATACTCAACAATAGAGATATAACATGATGAATTAGTTTTAACAATTCAACCGGGTTCACTATCACAAATTAGGATTTATACAACTGGTTATACCCTCATGAGATGGGGATATATAGATATATATATATATATGAGTAACCGACAAAATTAGCAGAAGACTAAAGTAGTAAGGAGTGGACATGGGATGTTCAAATTTGTGTAAAAACCTTCACAACCGATAGGGGACCACCCACTTACCAATACCCTATTTTTATACATTACCATGGAAGTACAGACCTTCACAACCGATGGGGACCACCCAGTCCATTACGAGTAGTAAGTAATTTTGCCCGCCACTCATATAGTAAGCCAATATATAATATGAAATACCTCCATACGGGAAACCATGGCTTCAAAGGGATATTCAGGGAAAGGGATTTGTGGTAGAAACAACCTGAGATACCTGCCCTGAGATTTTTAAATGGGCCAATATGTTGGTAATATGGTATTGGCGGTTTTTAACATGGGGGTTAAAGCAGACTAAACTAGGAAGCATGCGGATTTCCCACATCAAAAGTGATGTGGGAAACCCAAGGCCATTGACGATCCCAATTAGCAGGCCCAATTTCAGAAACTCAACTTGGGGATGAGTTATTGTTGGGTTTACCTGGCGGGGAACGCGCCCTAAAGTACCCAAGGTTGGTTTAATTCAGTTTTTAGTGCAGCTTTCAGGTTATGATATGTGATGCTGATGATTATCCCAGAAGAAAGTGAGAGCAGTTTCTCCTGTTTTTTGGGAGAGCATAAAAGCAGCACATAGAAGTATATAGTTTTCTGGTAATTTTATGGGCGTTAACTTACCAAGACCAAAAGATCTAGCCAGCATTCATACGGGAACAGCAAGAAGAACAATAAGATTTAAGAACCACAGTTCAAAGGAAAAGTGCAAAATCAAGCCATCAAATTTGTCAAACCAATCATTGAAGTTCTGGATATCACTTTGCCCGTGCTGTTTCACTTCGTCCAGGTTCTTCTGAATTTGAACAAAATTTCTGCAGAGATCAACTTCCGCATCTCCGATGTGTGCTGGAGTGGGGGGGGTTGTGCGAAGTTCTTTGAAAGCGCGACACTGCGAGATCTGTGGGCGAAGAAGGACCTGGGAGTCCAGAAACTTGGAGACGGGCCGATGGGCCCTTGTTACCATGGATTACAATAGCTGATCGAAATGCGGGGAAGTCCAAAACAGAAGTTAGAGCGCGCTGGTTGATGGAAGGGTATCCTTGACCAACCATTTGAAATCATTTGAATCAATAGATTATCAATGTTGTACCAAATGACAATGCCGAACAGCCGCCAGATTTTTCCATTCGCATTTGAGAAGATCCTTGATAAAGTTTGCAGAAATTGTGGTGCCTTCCAATTCTTCAGCCACGATTATGTATTCAGGGGCCGGCGGGTGATGCTGCGATGACACTATCTCAGATGCTCCAATTGGATTCCAATTGGTACCACATTATTGTCACATGATAATTATATATTTATGCTGTATACATTTGACTCTTTTGGATGCTTGCACATCCAGGAGGAAATGCTGATGATCTTTTGACCCATACCATTCCATGCCCATATCCGGGCTCAGGAATTTCATCAAAGTCACTCTTCCTCCTGATGGAGCCTCTCGAATGTTCAAGTTGAAGCCTGTCTATCCTCCAGCATCAAAGGCGTCCAAACCGTTTCTGGATTTGAATTTGATGGGAGGTGGAGCTTTTTTAGGGGGGCTGTCCGAACTTCCATTCCGCAAGTTACCCTGGGGTTATAGAACATATCAGTGGATAATTCTTGGTTTTGGAAAACCACATCGGTTTGTCTGAAAATTGGGTACCCCATTCCATCCACTGGGTAGTCAACATTTTGTCATTAAAATGTCCATATATTGGTGGTAAATCCTGTATATTCAGACACATCCATATATCTAAAGATGAAACACGTCGACTGTCGCCTGTGGAAGCAAACCCGTACCCTGGACCCCATGTGATATGTATTGAACTTGATTGGTACCTACTGCTGTGGGATTCAGATATTGTTTCGCATGACGGCCTATCCAAATGTTTTATCCCAAGATTCTTCGATCGGATCCCAAATTCTAAGATAAATTGCAGTATGGCTGCCAATCTTGCATCATCGGAACAAAATTCGTTTAGATGCCTAGAGTTTAAAGGGATCAAATTAGACGAAACCCTTGTTTTCGCCATTGAAACTGGAGGTTCCCCACACATTTTCCCGCCAGATTCACCAGTTTGGTTCCTGACAAAGTCCCAGGTCGAAGAACGCATTGCACAAGGCACATCATCGCCACAAAGCGGTGCTGCCTTACCATGCGCTGCACACGGACACGGTACATTTCCTGCAGACGTTCACGGAGCTGTAGAAAATGAGCGAAGTTTACAGATGGTGGTTCAGATTGTTCAGATATGTTCGGATGGTGAGTAGGGAAGGTCTTTGGTTTCTTTTTTGATTTGAAACAGGAGGTGACTGTAAAAAATGCAATTCGGGGTGAAGCTGATGGGAGATCAAGACTATGAACCTTACTGGTGAAATTGAAATGTTTGAAAGGATTGATGTGGAAAGAGATCCCAGGTGTTGAGAGAGTAGATTGTAGTCACACACTGAGTCTTTTAGCTCCTTTTGGGATTGTATAGATGGTTCACGACCTACGAGTTTTACTTTTTTTTGGCAGGAGGTTATCAAACATTCAAGATAACCATGTGTTTTGTCAGACACCTTCGATCAATGTGAGGCAACCCTCGGATACGGATATGTGTTGTTGCTTTCCATGACCATTGCAAGGTACTGTACGCCACAAGGCCACCTTCAGTCCAATTCCCTTACATGGGCCTTGCATAGACCGTGCATAGGTTAGGCACATGGATTTTTTGTACCTGTTTGTTCCCTTATCCTCATTGAAAAGACAACCCCGGATGAACAATGCTGAGATGGATGTCTCAACTCCCAACCAGCCTTGATACTATTTCACAGAGTCTTGTCCATTCCTGATTTGGTTTGTCAATGATTCACAACTTTGCAATTTCGATGGAAGGGTATTTATTTTACTTCCCGCCAAACGTCATTGTTATAGTATGTTATAGTTATCAGAAACTCTAGACCCAGGAGCGCTAATTCTATCACGGTTTTTGATGATTAGCCGCCCATTGTTTCTTGGGGATATACACTTTTCGGTGATGGGATCCCAGTTTTGGGGCGCACGTTGCACAGGCTCTTGTCCGAAGGCGGGGGTAGTGTTGCCTCGGCTGGGCTGTTGGTCATCCAATCTTCCGGATGAATGTATGGCTATGGTGCAAGGTGGGATGCTGATAGATCTGCAACATGCATCGAAAAATTCACTATGTTCGAAGGTGCTAAGCTGCTAAACCATCAAAGTTCAAATGGTATTGTAAATGTGTTGAGTCATACCGTCATACCAATGTACTTTGGGACAAATGTCGAACTGCGAAGAACTATCTAGTTTCACCAAGCTGGCATGAATAGGAGCGCAATCGGTGTACGGAAATTTCTGACGACGGCCACTGAGACTAGAAACATTGGGATTGGTCTTTCCATGTCCTTCCCTTTCGAAGAATGTCCTGTGTGGCCAACTCCATTTCTTTTCGAGTGTAAGCATTATCAGTCCTTGGATAGAGTCCCCCATGCATCCTGAGTGGCGCGAGGAACTTTCTATCAACTGACTATTTGACTTGATTGAACCATATTGACCCATTGTTTAGTGGCAAGGAGGCAATCATTTGCCAGAATCGACCTCTATCACCTGAACGATACCTGTGTGTTTTACCAATGTTCCAAATTGTCCACTGACTGACAAACCACTTTTGGTTAAAGTATGGGTCGAAATGAAGCCGCAGGGGACCATAGGTTCAAGTTGATTTTGAACTATATTGAATATGTTTGAATATGTTGGCCTTTTTTCCGTAAACAATCGCAGTTCTGGGACAAAAAAAAGGGGCCGCCCTCATCGCCAGACAAAGACCACGGAGATTCGGAGCTGGAAGAAGGCAGCGGGAGAAGTCCGTAGGCTGTTTGCTTCTTCCAAAAGGCATCACCAAAAGATCGAACTGGACAAATTCCTACTAAAATAGCAAATTATGGCAAATTGCTAAAATATGTGGTGGAGGTTACTATGCTTAGTAGGTAGGGTGTACAGCTACTTATAAGTGGGGTATATAAGATTTAGATTAGATTTATTATGGATTTGTCCATTTCCATATGGGAATAACCTAGACTTACTAAGCAGGATCAGCCACCAAGTGGTCAGGTGCACCAGCAGTGGCCAGCCCTTGGACCCTTGGAGTGTTTGCATTCAAATCAATTGGGGTAGAACAAAATGAAAAATGCAAACTCACAGAATCTCTCTGGATTTATCTGATTGTTTATGTTCCATCCTACCTAGGGTTGCTCCCGATTCACTTTTTTTTTCTGGATGGAGCACCTCCATGTATATCAATGTCCACAGTTCCTAGTCTCTTGGTGATTGAGTCCCAAGCTTTGTAGCCTGTTGATATCGGGTGAACCTCACTCCTGTGAATGTGCACATATTTGTGATAAGAGGACATAAGACAATTATGTAATTATGTAACATATGTATATAATGATCCTGAGTAGAGGTATGTAATGATCCAGAAAAGAGTATGGCACCTGAGTGTCTCGTCATTCAGATAATTATTGCTCTTAGCTTTTCATCATTGCCCTAGAACACTATAAGCACCCAGAAGAACAAATCAAACAACTCGTACTTTCTGTTGAAGACAAGCTCATATTTCTTGTTCGTAGATCAGCCATTATAATGGGCCTACAAGAAAAGAATGTAATCCACCATAATCGCCGTAATCCGCCACATTGAAACATTCCACGGACCCACAAGTCTGTAGAAGCAACAGCATTTTGCTATCACAATTGACAATATTTGGAAACAACTAAAAACGGCTAGTCGAGTTTCAGTACACGAAATACTGTGCAAACTCCAAAGCACGTCAGCTTTGGGATTGTGATGGTCTGTTGGGAAGTTCTGGCCCCTCAGGTGCAGGTGCGCTGGCAGTGGCACGTGTGAGGACTGCTCGGCTCTATCTGGAGAGAAAGATATATCTATAGCCACAAGATTACACGGATATACGTATATAGACATATTAAGCAAGTCAGCAAAATCAGAAAAAAGCAATGAAGGGTAGTTGCAGGTATAATCAGGTATATAGTTATCCAAGTTTGATACATGTTGCACAGTTCATTGCACGTCCCTCGAGAAATGTGTTACCCAGTTTCGATGAGATTGGCGGCCTCACCAGGTTACTTTGGAGACGAAGCATCCATGGGGTGTGACCTTTAGCACTAGTGGATTTGTTAGTTTTCTATGCTTTTCTATCTATCTTTTTGGGGTTCTATAGGATGCTATAGGTCACTGGTACATTGAAATTCAACCAACCCACTTAAAGGCGACCACTCAACGATAGATGTTGAATAAGCCCTTAATAGGCCCTTATTCTTGGTGTGTCAGCTTTTTTTGTGGTCATAATTGTTGGTGAAAGTGCAAATCCCTTGAAATCACCCAGCCAGAAAACATCCCGTGACTCCCATGACATAGCACAGCAATTCACACCATGGCAGCCATGGCAGGTTTCGAGGCCCCAAATCTCCACCATTTCAGGAAGTTGCTGCGGCGCTTGAACGTGGCCGCCCTGACGCCCCGGATGGCTGGGAGTCCACAGCCCTGGCGACGGAACATCAATTTATATGTCCAATAGGTAAACAGATGGATGATCTCCATGGCTATCTTTGATTACATTGATTACCAGGGAAAATAATGGTAAATAGATGAAGGAAATGGCAGGTAACCCCACAATCCACTTGCTGGTAAGGAGCCCTTACTGAAGATTTTGTTCCGGCCAAAACCTGGCACGACCACTGTGCCAGTTTGTAGCTGATTCAGAACTCCCGCTCAGTGAATACTCTGTTTCCGACAGGGTGGTAACTGGTAGACACACATACTTAGCTGGATGCTTGGACCCTGATTGGTTTTCTTTTCTTCTGACTGCCCAAGATACCCATTGTTTTTTGCATACCCATAATCACTTTCGATGGTGGCCCTTCTATGTAGATCAGCTAAGCTTACCAAATCTATCCCAGGTCCCATTTTGTTACTTCGCGCTTGACGGACTGTGGCTTGAAACTCTTCACCCCCAAAAGTTGTTTCGCCACTCGAAATCACTGTATTTTGTGGGCTTATTGGTGCCCCATTTTTGGTCACCCTAGTCACGCCTCCATTTGTTTACCATTCTTTTCATGTCGATTATTTCTTCAAAATGGGGTATAAGCGTACCCAATTTTATGGCTGTTTGAAGAGAACGTTCATGATACACCATGGACAAAAAGCTTGGTTTTCCACCCAACGCTTTGGTGACTGGTTCTTTTTGCAACCAAGGTGGTGAAGGACATTTTGGCCCCCCTATTTGGGAGTTGGATCCTCATGGGTGGCGAGCAGTTACGGTCCACAGGAGAACATTGATGCTTGATGGGCCTACGGAAACCTATACAGTTTTGTTTCTCAAATTCAAGCTTATACAGAACTTATACACTACCAAAATGTATCAAAATATGCCTTAAAAGGTAGGCATAAAACGGTGGGAGACGTTTTTCCGGACAGGGTCAAAATCCGTGGCTGTCCTGAGGCGAAGGCCAAGTGCCTCGAGTCATTGCAGCCTCTGAGGCCATGACAAAATCTCAGCAAGAAATGTTGATCATTTGAATCATTTTGCACAGTTTTTAACCAAAAAAAAATCATTTACATGGCATAATTTAATGGACAGACACGGGACTATAGTAGGCACAAAAATAGGATATTGCCATTGATTCAGCCGCCGTTTTACCCAACAAACAAATTGGGGTTAGCAAGCCAACAAATGTCATGCCGGCAACAAACATCCGGATTGAACGAGCCACAATTGCTGTTTGACGAACAATACTGGCGTATTCTGCAAGCGAGAGTAATGGGGTATATCATAGATCTTGCCTATGGCAGTATGGCTCAGAACAGTGGGTATATAGTTGTATAATCTTGAAAAAAATATTGTAATATATTGTATATATGGTTCATCAATAGTTAATGTAGACATGTGTGGTTGGTTCGTGTCTCGGAACGAAGCGGTGGGTGAAACCATCAATTTTGCTTGCACAAAGTTGGGTACTCCAAAAGATTTGGTGGTTGGATGCTGAAAAGTACTGACATTTTTGTGGCTGATGTCTACAATTTAGATCCATATCTATGTATGTTCAGATTGGAATCGTCATGAATCATCAGTGCACTGCAGCCAGGGTGAAGATGGTTTGTAATTGCTCAAAGTGGGATGAACGTGATGAAAAAAAATCGATATGAGGCCCTCAGCATGGGGATAGAACGAGAGGAAAATGACATATTACTGTTACTGCAAGGGATGGGATTTTACGGATCTGACCACAACAAATCAACATATTCACGGCATCGAAAATTGGGCAGCGCACCAGTGTACAGCATCAGCTCCTTCACTGAGCGAGTGGTAAGAGTAACATATGATGCAATTCAGCTTGACGAGCTTTACTAGCAACCAGCAGATTTTACGAACAGAAAATGAAGGTGTAGCCAGCAAAGCAGATAAACAATCGAAACAATCCTGCTGAATGGCTAGTGTTCAGATATGTCAAGCCAGGGTAATGAGATATCGCTCCATTGTTGTGAATCAGCTTTGTGCATCCCACTTCAAATGAAGAACATGATAGTCTGAGGACCTTTGCGCATAATAGTGGTTATTTGACCAACAGGTTTCGAATGCTACACCTCCAAAGGGCGGCGATTTGCCCTCAATTGTGTACCTGTTTGCAAGTCCAGGGTGGCATTCAAACATAAACTGTTGCAGTTTCCTGAAGTTCTTTGTAGATCTATGTAGATATTCAGCGAGAAAGATATCGATTCAATTAGTGGGGGGGGCTCACGAGTTCTAACTTCAGGATTCGATGGCCAAAGTATCCAAGGAACTACTTGAAAGTCTCAAAGCTATATCTGATGCGTAAAACTATACATATGATATGTATATCATATGTAACACATATCATTAATATATGTGTACATATATATATATATATATGTATATGGATTCAGAACCAAGCATCCGTTTTTGGTCATGAAACTTCGCTCGCCCACCTTTTCCAGGCACCACGGTCTCTGTCTGCATTGCTGGCCTTGGGCGGTTTCTTAGCAGCTTGGTCTTTGAAGCCAAGTGAGGATGGATCAGAATATTTCACAACATAATGGACATATCAATGGTTGCGGATATCCATGGTATACAAATACATATATATATATACTACATATATCCACAATTTTATACGGGTAAATGGGGATATCGATGGCTATGATGTATAGCTATATACCACACACACATATATATATATATTGTACTGATGGGTAAAGAGTGATATTAGTTGTTATATGAACAGCAGTGGCAAGTTGAACTTGCTTCATATGGTTTCTATATAGCTGGGGCTTACTATAGTCAGCTACATATAAAATCTTAGTTCGATTGCAACAACTATTTCTTCGAAAAATGGGGGTTGTACCAGGTCACGCACCGGCACCTGGCGGATGAGTTGCGCGGCGCGCCGGTGGGGTGGCCATGTGGAGAGGCGAAGGCCTGGAACATCCTGGAACGCTAGCCCAGGCCGAGAAATAGGTAGATAAAACATGATAAAATATGATCAAACTCAGCAAAACACGGGAGTGAGATCTTCAACACAGAAACAATGGCTGATCATTGGCTGATGTTTTGATAATGTTTGATATACATGATATATTCCTCTATGCCGCAAAAATGATGATCGGATGGCTATAGTGTGGTTATAAATCTCAAACATGGGAGCTTGAAACCAGAATTTGAAAAGTGACAATAGAACCCCTAAATGATCGTTGGTTGATTGTTATATTTAGGGTTGTACTAGCTGGCTTTATCGGAATTTGGATCATTTATTGTGGGATTCCCGCGGTGGCAGAATGTTTGGCCACTGGTCAGCTGACCTCACCGCAGTTGATGTTCCAACAAGGCGAAGGGATATGGTGGTACAACCCTGAAGCGATGTTCTTTTGATGTTTGAGATTTTGGAACCTGCAAATTGAAAGTTCCTGGTGGGTACATGATGGTTTATGTTCGCGCTGTGTCTCTATTGGCTGGGCGCATAAGTGCTGACAAGATGGTTAAGCATAAATGCGTCCAGATAAGCCTTCGTGTCCCGTCATAGTTAGAATCGCGAACAGTTGGAAAAACCCAAACGATTGGCCTCTAGAATCTAAAAGATGATTTCTGCAACGGGGCACTATGTCATGTCGAGTTTTGAGTTCCATGTGTCTTTTTGTTTAATGGTGCATACCCAACGAATAAGTCCTTCCCCCAAAGCTTAAATACTGCTTAGAAACCCTGGTTCAGCACTGAATTCATTATGATTTACTGTATATATCTATTTTTGGGTTGCATGGGGATGTTCAAGAGTAGGGAGATTGCAAGTCGTGAAGAAAGAACTGCCAATGGTTGAGAGAAGGAGAACGAACGGTATAACATGGTATAACTATATATGCCTGTAGAGGAGGTGATTGGGTAGGATTGGGTTCCCAACCTACTTTCTATTCTCAAGAGCGTAGCGAATGGACTAACAAGATGATATTAAATCCATTGGGTAATATGGTGGGATTCCCCTACTCAGCCGTACGCCTCGAAATTACTTCTGCTGCAAAAGAAGTTGTGTTTGCCAATACCTTCCCAAAAGGACGGTCTTATCCATGACATGCCAAGCAAAGCCTTGCATCCGCCGGCTTTTGTGGACTTCTACATGTGCGGCTTCCCATGCAAGCCGTTCGGCCAGACGGTGCATCTGCCCGAGGAAAAGGCGCATGTGTTCTCAAGACATCTCAAGACCATCGAGACTCGAGACCATAAACCGCCCGTGTTTATTTTGGAGAACGTCAATGGGTTCTGACGGTCTGGCATGCCCTGGAGTCTCCAACTCGTGTGCGACTACAATGCAACATACTGGGTTTAGGAACCATCAGACCTTGGTGAGCAACTCTAAGAACCAGGCATTCGTTTTTGTCTGTCCGTGTAGATGTCAGTTTACGCAAATGATCTCTGAAGGGATCTACACGGAGTAATAATCCTGTAATTTGCCTTTTCTCTACATTGCTGCCTCGATTCACACGATTGTTTATTCTCCCACTTTGACTCCACTTTGATCAAAGTTGATTTAACTGTGTATATAGTTAATATAGATATACAGATATATAGAGAATGATAGAGACATAGATATGAATCTCGCTTTGCATTGGCTATAATTAACAGGGGATATTGCCATTTTGATGCAGGTTTTTCTTGGTGTTGAAGCGTTGATATCTGGAGCCTACTGGGCTTGATTCAAATGGAGCTAGTAAACTGCAAGGTTGGAAACCCTTGCAGACAGAATGCAAGTGGATATGCCCGAGTTGCTTACCATGGATCCCACTTCGAGTTGTATCTGTGTTTGTCTCAAATAACCCCGACCCATGCTTTATCATTACGGTTCCCTTTGTTGCCTTAAATTTGGGTATAATATGGTATAATCAGGGTATACTCATGGATCCTCCATATCCCCCATTGTATCCCGGCAAAGCATCCCATCGGGATATCTGGTTTTTATCCAGTTGGACGATCTCGCTCTCAGTGATGATTCCCATTTGAAGATATTTCAATGATCTACCCCCCATATATATAATTAATATATATAATTACGTATAATATATATTTTTTGTATAATCTAATCTAATTTATATATGATCCAATCCAGTCCAGTCCAATCCAATCTAATGTGTCTGTCAATATGTGCATGTGTATACATACAGAGAGAGAGAGAGAGAAAAAAAAAAAAAAGAAAGATTGATTTTTCGGGTAAAGATTTTCCTTTCAGTTGCAGGTTGCCGTGGGACGAGCTTTCGTGGCTCCTGCACTGCATTCGCCCAGCGCCACAACGTTTCTGGAGGACAGAGTTCGGTATATCTGGACCTTGGTGAATGCCGGGCGGCTGGCTTTCAGTAATCAATAATTCCGGTGATCCACAATCAGTTTCATTCATATTGATTGGGATCCAAAACGTTGATTTTTTGGATTTGTTTTAGTCAACAAATTGGATACCATAAATGAAGATAGAGGTTTGAACCCGAAGAAGAGGATTCAACAATCAGTTGAAGTCACAACTGTTGGTGTACAGGTAGATTGTGAAGGAGTATTTATGAGCATTTTTTGCTGCACTTCAACGTGGTTGCTTGACATGTGGGATGATCACACAAGTGAGAGAGAAGGACATAGCACACCCCTTTCTTCTTGATGTTTGTAGGTCACATCTTAATTGTACGAAGGCCGACCATGAATCATCTACGCACATCTGTTGCGTTTTGGGTTTAGACGGTTTAGACGGTTTAGACAAAATCTTGCGTCATCGGTGTTCCGAAGCAGGAGGCACAGGGTGACACTTCCATGATACATGATCCATCATGTTCCTATGTTCCCATCAATTTGCAAAATCCGCACTCAAAAGATGTCAAAAAGCCAATGGAGTCCACATGATCTGCACGAATTCCTGTAGCAGCTGTAGCAATTAAAGACATTTCAAAGAATTGCTAAAGTCAATCCTCCCAATATCTCCCGGCCTCTTCGAATGTTTCCAGGCGGCTAGTGGTGTGTTGGATCTGACATTGCCAAGGGTGTGGCTGCCCAGGGACTTTGTACCAACATCATCCTGAATGGATGGATGGTTTGAGATCTTGGTCAGATGTTGTTCCTTTTCGCCATTGTAATACCTGTTTTTGGGATAGCCCATTGTTTTCAACCATGTGCTTTCAACCAGCCATGACATTGCGGAATTTGCACTGCAACCGTTTTGTGTGTTCAATCAATATATACAATACAGCATAAACATCTTGAAGAACCCTCCAAAAGTTTGGCGTCTGGTACTAACGGATGCTAAAAGCACTCAAACTGTCTCAAACTTGTGGTTCCATTTATATTTATCCAGGCACATTCCTCATGAACGTTGGCCCATATATATATATCTATACTCCAGGTTCATCTGGGTCATTCATAAGGATCAAACATCTCTGAGTTCGAGAAAACACCCTTTGTATTCACTCTATTCATTTTCAGGATTCTATCTAACACTAATTTAGTGTAATCTGAATCATGACATGGTTCCTGCAATCTTGTAGTTGGCACCACAAATCGCACCATTGGCCAAGTCGGAGTGGGACCTGTCTGGTCCACTTTGCTGAAATTTCATGTCAAATTCTGTCAAAGTTTCTAGTATGGATCAGTTCATGAAAATTGTTGAAGCAAGGTGTCAGGATTTTTGCTAGTTGACCTTCCAAAGATGGCTTTGTTTGCTGCAGTAGCCCAAGTACTTGACCATTTGCAATGACTGTCATGTTGCATGATGTGTCAATCCCAAACTTGAGAACGTTTCCATGTTGAACAGGTCCAACATTGTAGATCAACCAGGGCCCCAGTTCTGGTCATCATAGCTTAGGAGCCACCAGGAAGTAAAGAGTGCTAGGTGCTGGCACCTTAGAGGGTTAGTTACCGAGTTACCGTCAGTTCACCAGCGAAGGTCCCTGGCAACTTGGAGGCTTCGTTGGTGCACCAGGCAGTCTTGGGATGGTCTGGAAGGATGTGGGGATCAAAACCCATTACATAATATTACATATATGTATTATATATATATCATATGTCTACTATAGGTCCTCACAGTGTGCTAATGTTTGCTGAACTAGCCTGTACTGAAAGTAACGCAGGTTTAAGGTGGACACATAGTTTGATGAGTTGATGTTATAAGTGGAGGGCACCACTCTGTGGGTAGCTGTTGACATCCCAAGATGAGTTGGTTCATTTGGATGTGAACAGCACGATTACGAGGTCAGAGAATGAGATTTAGCCAAGCAAATAATTAGGGATTTGAGCATTGCACTCACTTGGCTGTACCAACGCGGATGGAGGAACTGGAGAGAGATCGCATTTCCTGGCAGCTATTCCGCACGCACTTTCAGCAGAAAGCCTTGCAGATCAACGGGGGCTCTGGACAAGATGGATGACACTGAGCCAGGCTATGCCACGCTGACATAGCTGTGAGTCAAACAAATGCTCTATACATATACAGCATATAGTTTTTTAATGTTTTTTAGATTTTTTAGATAGGCAAATGAGCATCAGAACGGGTCTTCATAGATCTTTCATCCTGTTAATCCTGTTGATTCCTGAGATGGTTTCGACCAGATCCGCAGCATGAGAAGATCAGGGACCCATCAGAACCGCACAGTTCCGAGTCAGGGTCCCCAACGATGTGTATCCCCCGTTGTACCGGTAATTTTTTTTCCTGTGACTCCAGTTCGAAAATTAAAAATGCCAAGTCAGGTAAAAATCATCCCAAAATGGATGTTGCAAGGTTGGGGCTCAGGAAAACAAATGTTGGAGCCAGGAAAGCAGGATTAGTAACATAAGGTTGTACCACAGGATTTTATATGTTTTGGTGATTTGCCTGCCAGGATTGCATGGTTTTCCAAACAAGGTTGGGGTACAGGAAAAAAATCTCTGGGCCAATCTGTCGAACAGGAGAGGGTAGGATCTACATAAAGGTTGTGATCATACTTTTTAATGCATTTCAGTGGTTTGTACAAAGGTTGAATCCGATAGCTTCACTGGATTTTAATTATGAACAGTTATGAACTCCGTATGGTTTTCTTCAAACAATATCCTCCCCTGTACTACCAGTTTTTTTTCCTGGGGGTTCAGCACGCTTTTTAAAAAACACTATTTTCCAAAAATCTAGCAGACAGTGGGTGAGGGTCCCGGGGCATGATATGGGGCCAGGAATAAAATATCATACCAAAAAAGGCCCAGATGTGTTTTTCCTGAAAGCTTCCTGACGTACAGTGGCAGAAAATCAATTTCTGTCTGTTGTGATTGAGGGGGGGTTGATCTATCAGTCTGTGTATGTAAGGCATCAGGAAATCAATCATGAATGACTCTGATAATGGGTAAGTTTGTAGAATTCCCAAGGTTAGTAGCCAGGAATTTGAAGGTGGATGGATCAAATGGGAGTTTACTAGAACATATCTAAATGTCAAACCCCAGGAAAAAAATGTACCATGATTAATTGAGGGGGTATGATTCTTTACATGACTTTGCAAAAGGGTACAAACACATATGTTCACCTTCACCAACCAAAAAAGGTGACTTCAAGAGGCCGAAGGCGCAGGGGTCAAAAATAAAATCCAAGGGGCTGGACCTTTTTTGACTGAATACTTGCGGATGATCTTCAAAGGTTGGCCCCACAGGAAAAAAGTCGCATCACCAGGCCAATCATCCACTGATAGGACATGATGGGACGAATTCAAGAATTTTGTGTCAACGCGCGCCCAAATTGCAAAACACATGTTTTTTTGCTGAAAATACAGTTGTCCTTGCAAAAGGGTACAGACACACATGTTCAGCTTCACCAACCAAAAAAGTGACTTGAAGAGGCCGAGGCGCAGGTGTCAAAAATAAAATCCAAGGGGCTGGACCTTTTTTTGACTGAATACTTGCGGGATAATCTTCAAAGGTTGGCCCACAGGAAAAAAATCGCATCTCCAGGCCAATCATCCACAGATAGGACATGATGGGACGAATTCAAGAATTTTGTGTCAACGCGCCCAAATTGCAAAACAGGCGTTTTTTTTCTGAAAATACATTTGTCCTTGCAAAAGGGGTACAACCACATATGTTCAGCTTCACCAACCAAAAAAGGTGACTTCAAGAGGCCGAGGCGCACGTGTCAAAAATAAAAATCAAGGGGCTGGACCTTTTTTGACTGAATACTTGCGGATGATCTTCAAAGGTTGGCCCCACAGGAAAAAAGTCGCATCACCAGGCCAATCATCCACAGATAGGACATGATGGGACGAATTCAAGAATTTTGTGTCAACGCGCGCCCAAATTACAAAACATATGTTTTTTGCTGAAAATGCATTTGTCCTTGCAAAAGGGTACAGACATACATGTTCAGCTTCACCAACCAAAAAAGTGACTTGAAGAGGCCGAGGCGCAGGTGTCAAAAATAAAATCCAAGGGGCTGGACCTTTTTTTGACTGAATACTTGCGGGATAATCTTCAAAGGTTGGCCCACAGGAAAAAAATCGCATCTCCAGGCCAATCATCCACAGATAGGACATGGTGGGACGAATTCAAGAATTTTGTGTCAACGCGCCCAAATTGCAAAACAGGCGTTTTTTTTCTGAAAATACATTTGTCCTTGGTACAACCACATATGTTCAGCTTCACCAACCAAAAAAAGGTGACTTGAAGAGGCCGAGGCGCAGGTGTCAAAAATAAAATCCAAGGGGCTGGACCTTTTTTTGGCCGAATTCTTGTGGATGATCTTCAAAGGCTGACCCCACAGGAAAAAAATCGCATCACCAGGTCAACCATCCATAGATAGGAAATGATGGGACGAATTGAAGAATTTTGTTCCAACGTGTGGCCAAATTGCAAAACAGGCGTTTTGAAGATACATTTGTCCATGCAAAAAGGTTGCGCATTGCCGTGGGCATCTGCCGGACCGCACTCGTGAAGCCGTGGACTCTGAAACTGAAAAACTGCGAGCTGTCAGCCGGGAAGTCAGGTGCCAGGAATTCATTTTTTTCCGTATCAGATTGAGGGGGGGAAGATATGGCATGTTACCAACGCAAGCATCCAGGATTTTTTTTTACTTGGATATCAGAGGGGTAAATTTATTGGATGTTGGACGTTGGGCACCAGGAAATTAGCAAAGAAAATTCAAAAAGGTGGTTGGAAGTGAGATTTCGGCTTCAGAGGTTAGGAGCCAGGAATTTAAAGCTCTAAAACCTCTCTCAAAGGTTAGGGGTCATCATTTTGGACCGATTTTTTTCTAGGACTGTACCCCACGTTTTTGTACGGACGGGGATCAACAATCATGTAGAGAGGACACATCATTTCTGGTCATTTCCAACAGAGAGAGAGAGAGAGAGAACAGTTCTGGACCTCCAAAGCCTAGTGTCATCCATCTCCCCGTCTTGAAAGATCTTGACAGCATGCGAGCGAAAAAATGATGGAGCCGGTGGAAACCCTGTGACCCAGGATTTGAATGATATGACAAGAAAAGTATTTATGCCAAACCCTCAGCAGTTTTTGAAAGGTCGTGATCTTCCAATTCAATCGACTTGACGATCTGAATGGGGTAGGTACACATGTATCATCATAAAGGTTATGACCCAGGAAAAGAGTTGTGTCAGCGCAATGGTGGACCAGGAGAAATGTTAGTCCACATAAAGGTTGTGGAACAGGATTTTAATTTGTTTGCCCGGGAAATTGCAACTTGGTTGTTGGCTTAAATCCGTTGGGTTGTACCCTTTGGAAATCAATTCCAAAAGGTTGTGGACCAAACGATTTATATAAGGCATTTTTTTCCAGGACTGGACCCTTTTGAGCGGTACCACGGGGGATACGATGTGTGGTGCGCCTACCACACCAGGACCCATATGTGTATACTTTAAGAACGGGGAAAAGTTGGTCCTTCCACCATAGATAATGGGATATCTACAGTCTACAACCTGCATCATGCATTTCAATTTGTATTTAGATTGATCTATTTGCAACCCCTATGTTTGTTTGGTAATTATATTGACCAGCATTTGAATATGGCATATATTGTACACATACATACATATATATATATAGTTATTCATGTAACATTTATAGAGATATCATATTATATATAATGTATATCTAATTATATATGTATGTATATATATATATACGAATTATATATATATATATACATTTCGAAGAAGGCCCCGCAAGCACGTTTTTGCTTTCAAAACTTGACCCGTCCTCTGTGCAGGTCCTGGAAGACTTGGGCTTGGCGCTGCCCGGGCCGCGTGTGGTCAGCGACCAGGAGGACTGGAAGAGCCACTGGGCACCGGTGAGGTGCGTGGAGAATGGGGATGTAATGGAGATATGATGGGTGCACTGGGGATATACTGGGATATTAATGGGAGATTGATGGGGTATGCGGTATGTATATATATATATATAATTAAGCTACAACAATGGGATAAGTCATACAGTACGATTTTTGGGAGGGACAAACATGCATTGCCAGCTATTCTGCTGTGAAGAGAAGTGTAGCAGTGTTTTGACTCATACCCATGCAGGATTTTTGCAAACAAAAACTGTGGGTTAAAAATGAGAAATGATGTCATTTTTGGCTTCTCATATGTGAACTGGTGTCATCAAGTTTGCTGAGCCTGAAATCATTCTTGGAACTGTTCTGCTGAATGGTCAACGTCTCTAAGTTACATGACTGTATGTTCGACAGTCGGTTGTTCCTTTGCACGCATGGTTTGCATTGGTTTTACTCAGAAATGGACCTTGGCGCACCATTTCTTTGGTGTCCAAGTCAAATTCATTCAAATTCAGGGTGTAGAGATTCGGCATTGGGGTGATGCAAGGGAACCAAGCAGGTGAAATCGTGGATTCTTACTATCTAAAATGTGGGGTTTCCTGTAAAATGTCTGTCCATTAAAACAAATCGTTGGCATTCAGCGACCGTGGCTACCAACTTCAGTTTCTAGAATCATGTTGAGCCAACAAGTTGGATGACCGGAATTCCAAACAAGGTGGATTCCCTCCACTGAGACATGGCAGTGGAAAATCCACCATTTAAAAAAGGGATGATCGCTACACTTTGCCAAGGTGAGGATTTGGAGTCCTTGTTGTCCGCCATCGCCAAAGAGACCCGCATCGCTGAATCGCGAGGCGCGGCAGGGGGCAATGCAGGACAACTCACTGCAAAATTGGGTCATTAAGGAGTTATGGACGTTTTTTTTCAAAAATAGTTTGGTATAGATGTATAGATATGTTTTTTGAAGGTGCCCTTGATGGTTTGGGTTGTTGTTAATGTATGATATCACATGATGATATACTCCGCTAATGCCTTTCGATGCCTTTCATGTTCCATCCCTCTTAGCGCACGTGATCCCACTGGGGTTCACCAGGCTGAACGGAGATCATCTCCCCGGCCAGGTTTGGCACGTGCCCGTTCTTTGGCCAAGGCAGGGGATGAGATGCAGTGATTGGGGTACAGAATCACCTCTGCAGAGGGGTATACTGGCTGACATGTAATGCAGATCAATATAGCATATATTGTCATAGATTTTCCTAGTTTACCCCACATTTCCCCTGTGGGAACAAGACCCACTAACAATGGGCCAACGGGCATTCTTCCAGTGGGGTTCACTCGCCGAAGGCGTTAAACTCGGCCTGGAGCCGCTTCCAGCGCTATGCCTTCCGTCGGAACGACAGCAGCAAGGCTGGCCACTTCCATTACCACAGTTGGGTCCCACATGTTTTCCTATAGGATCTATAGGTTATAGAAAAAACATTGCTCACCTGATCATGTTTTTGCTTGATTGCATTTCTATAAACTAGTATCTGTATAGTATATGTCAATCATTTTCAATCCCTGTTGTGGAAGATTATATTGAATCAGCCTGTTCGTTTGCGATCAAACCACGAACCAGCAATTGATTTTGGGGGACCTATCAGCAATTGGATGGCTTGACTTAACATATTTCTTTGACAAATGCGACCAATCCATACGGTCCATACGTGGATAGCCAACTCATACACATGTAAACTTGTAAATATGTTCATGTTTTTTCATACTTGTGGTTTGTTCCCATGTGTTGCACAATTTTCCCTTTACCAGCCCAGCTGGATGTACGCCCCCAACATCCCTTGACAGTGCTACCATGGGAAAGGCCTCTACCTTTCTGCTGACCTTGCAATCTGGCTGTTGGTTGCCATCAGATGGGCCAGAGGCCTGGACCCTGAGACCCCGGGACCCCCCGGGACCCCCCACAGCGGAGGGCCGAGGGCCTCGGATTATCCAAGTGGCCCAGGCACCATCCCAGCGTTGATCATCATGTTCCCTCCATTTTTGGACCTAACTGGAGGAAATCCACCATGTGTTCCTACTCACTATAAATCCCAGTGTTGGACATGGTCAATCCTCATGGCATTTCCATGATAAAGCCAGGCAGCGCTGCATCGCCCTGGTGAGCTGGTCTGTGGCACCGTGGAGATTCGCTCGGTCTTCCCGGATGTGCAGCTGCTGAAAGGACGAATGTGCGGCGTAGTGGCAGGCAGGGATCAGTAAGCAGGGCTGGGTGTCCTTTCTTGTATCTTATCATTTTCATGTTCTTACTTTAGATTTTGTTACTTTAATTTATTCTATATATGTTCTGTGTTTTAGCTACATTGGGGCTACGTTGATGCAACTTTTTGAACATTGATATCGCGCAAATATTGGCGACAGGGGCCATAGACCATAGACAGTTCTTTTTCGTCAACATAAGTCAACCTTATAGCGTTACTTTAAAACGGCTTGGGGTTGTTCATAGATTATCCAGCTGGGCCATGAGGTCAGGATCGGTAGTGGATTCACGCCTTCACTAGCCATGCTGACCCTGCCAGGCGACTTTGCGGAAGCCTTGGGTGTGTTGACCAAACCAACAGTGGATTTGGCCACCAAGGCACCAGGGGATGCCGGTGACCGTTCAAGAAGTATGGCAACGGCTGTTATCGTCAAGAAATCCGGATTTTAGATGTTTTTAGGATGTCAATCTTCCAGTTTCGTCTACTTCATGGGATAGGCTACTTCCTTCAGTGTCAGATACTGTAGATCCCGATTCAGTAAATAATTGTCTTTCCTTGGTTTGAGTTTTGAGTTTTGTTCACTAGACAACATTCATTTACTCTCATGGGTGATGTTCCATGGACCATTTGGTTGCCAGAAAGTGAACTGAAAGGTGGAAAAACAGTTTGCTTAGGGAGCTATGAAGGGAGAAGTCATCACCTAGCCAAATAATAAGCCATGATCCATCAGAACCTACGCATACAACAATCAAAATGGGGATGCAACCTGCAACAGAGAAACATGCATCTGGAATAGCACGATACCAATGAATCTGCCTTAACCTTGCAGAGAGATGCGGTGCCACAAAGAATATGCAATCCAGGTCTTTGGCAACAGAGTTGGAGCCATTCCCACTGGAACATTTCAAGAAGCCCGGATAACTTCCAAGCAAATGCACGACGATGTGCCCCTTGTGCTCAGGCATATGATGGCTTTCCCTCGGCAACAAATCAACTGCCGCGGTTTTCCTGAATACAAAGTTGTGTTTAACAGCTGACGCTTCGAACCATATCCGCATTTGCCTCACTTTGCCAGAATATTCATTGACAATCAGACAACAATCAACAGTAGGACTTTGCTTCGGTCAAAAATGAGACCCACCCAAAACAAAGGGGAATTTAACGGCTTTAGGCAACACAACATCTATACGTATCTCTATTGCAGCCACCAAAAAATGGGAGTTCGTCAAAGAGTTTACTTTCCAAAGAGTTTACTTTCCCCAAAAAAGAAAGTCCGGTGGGATCATCATCCCATGTTTGAACAGTTGTATTTTGTAATGAGAAATATGAATGAAATATGAATAAAAGCAGCATAAACATGCATAAACCACCACCGAATGAGACCAGGGCCCAGTTCCCATTGCAGGTGCTGCTGAGCTTTGAACACGCATCCCCCGTGGCGCCAGAGAGCGCTGTGGCGGTGTACGGTTTCCTGCAGGAGCAAGGCCTGGCTTCGATGGCGAGGTCATCTATTTGTTGATGATTCCTAAGCTTTGATTGGCAACTTCTTGTCTATTAATTTGGGAACACCATTGTGGTCGTTAGCTTGGGAGTGTTCATCTATTTGTTGGATGATTATTGATGATGTATAAAGTTTGCTATTAACTCTTACATCAGATCCAGCTGAAGATGGATGAGTCTGTCAAGATTGATCAGATAGCATGGAATGACACAATGATACAACCATTTGTTCACGAGGATATGGCCAGGAGAGCCTGGGGATATGACAAGTTCATGCGGGATTTTGACCCAACACAGACTGGCGGTTTTGCCACATCAACCTTTGAGAACAAAAAGGTAGGATATAAATAGGAGATATTTGAATGACCAAAAAGTCATGTCGATAGGGACACTAAATGTGTTACAAACATCGGTGTTTCCAACTGGAACGGATCATGGATCCACCTGGGTCCCCTTTTTGAACCACCTGTGGAGCGCATCTCCCTGCCATAGAAGATCCGGCCGGGATGTCCCTATCTCCATGTGTATCTGTTGGGATTTTGTTTCATCCCTTATCCCTATTCATCCCCTATCTTTTTCAAATACCCACTATTGATGAAATCTCCCATTTCTTTTACTTTATCGATGATTCTATCATATCCTTGCACAATGTGATTTCCTGTCGTTGGTCGAAGATCCCAAAGCCAGGTGCTGATTGGAGCATGCTGCGCGACAGTCCGTCAGGGGCTCTGGGGTGTTGCAGATACCAGATGAAATTTGCAGAACACTTAGAATTGGAAGGTGGTCAGTGGTCAATAAGTCATGGTTGAAAGCCAGTTGTATATGGAATGATGTCGATGCACATGCAAATGATGATAGGGTCAAATACATGTGTCGCTGGCATTCACAAGTTTTGGTCACGTTTGAACAAACGGAACAAAGAATTTCATTTTTGGGAGTGCCCACCTTTGTTTGACCCATCCCCAGTCAAGAAATGACAGCATTAATTGTACGTATATGATTGATTGACTCCTGATTTGGGGCTAGACATCCATTGGCATTGGTTCTTAATGAAGTGGACTGGCGATCATGGGTAGTGGTGTCAGTGGTTCGCATCAACATTTTGGAAAATTGTGACAGTGATACATGAATATTTTGATAGTTTGAAGATGCTTGAAGAATTTCGGGAAAGTACAGTGTCCCGAATCCACTTATTGCTAGTCTTTTGCATGCTGGAAGTGTGCATTTGATTGGCAATGTCTATGCAACTTGCAACTAACTAAACTAACACTAATGTGGATGCCAGGATGGTTCATCTTTCACAGACAACTACCAGCATACAACGTATATAGAATGATATAGACGACATTGAGATCAGAGAGGTAGCATGTACATGTAAATGACCCGATGGCATACAGACACAGTGGATACACAGCTTCTTGCTCCAACAAGTCTTGGATGAAAACAACAAGTTGCCCAGATAAGTGGATTTACTCACCATCACAGTATCATTGGGTTTGGGCAAGTAAAGATTCACAGGAAAGTGTTATTGTTTTTTTTGCTATTTGAATTTGGGTTTTCCTCTACACTATCCCTTCATCTATGTTTGATACACCATGAAGTACAGAAATTCGACAGATTTGGCCAGATACATCCAGATATATCCGGATATAGAGTTCATTTACCCATCACCCATAGTGATTTTCCATGATTTTCCAGCATTGGATCATCTTAGACCCTTCCGGGGCTTCGGTGAGGTGCATCGTAGTGGAGCAAGGTCAAGCAGCAGTGATGCCATCGGAGGTGGTTTGGGAGGACCTGATGGCAGTGTGGTCCAGAAAATATTTGGGGTTACTAGATGTTACTAAGCTATTATTGTATACAATATAATTATATATATTATTATTATTATTCTTATTATTATTCTTATTATTATTTATGTTTATTATTATTATTTATTTGTATTATTGTTATTTATGTTTATTATTATTTATTATTATTAATGTTTATTATTATTACTATATTATTATTATTATTTATTATTATTTATTATTTATGTTTATTATTATTAATCTATATAATTGTATGTTATTGTATGTTGGTGTACAATCAATGATAGATGTATGTGATTGTCTTATCATACAATCAACGATAGATATATAGATTGATCAATTACGAATTTAATGACCAAACATGGGGATAGAATTGAAACATGGTGGTTGGGTTGATTGCAAACTGTCAATCGATCGTTTGTTTGAGAAAATCTTAAGCAACAATTTTCTGTGTCAATCTGTTTCGCCCCCCAAAAAAGAGGTTGAAACTAGATGCCCGGTTGTTTAAAGGGCTAAATTCCTGTGGTTTGTACCATTCATAATGGCGATATAATCCCTGTTTTTTGGTGGATTGAGGGTCAATTAAACTGGCTATTGAGGTCAAACTATATACCTGGAAGACTGGCTTCAAGCCTGAAAGGAGAAAGGAGTGTCCTTCAGTCTTTGCCAAGTCAATTTGAGCAATGGGAAATTATGAGACAACCGCTAAGGTACCTTCAGAATCCAGTCGTTCTAGATCAGACCATGGCATGATTATGGCAGCTCAAGTTGGGGTTGAACCAGAAAGTTCATCTCCAGAAGTTAGGAACCGCATAGACTCATAGACAAAGAGCAATCGTTGATACACAGCAACCTGAGGGCAAACGGACTTTGCGGATACTTGAGCCAAATGTCGGTTGCTTGGATATTCTTTACCCAAACCCAAGGATGGCTATGTCACAGCGCTAGCAAACTGAATTCCCAGTTGATATCAATCATAAGGTTCAGTGAAAACACGTGAGCATATATGGTCTGAAGGAAGAACCAATGATCATTGCAGAACTGGATGGATACAAAAATGATGTAACAGTGCACCTTTTCGGCGCAATCCACCTTTGTGCAGACATCATTGAATCATAGTCAAAGAATAACTCATCCATCATGCAAAGGCTATGATTTGGCATGTGATTTTTCAGGCTTCCGTTTTGGGAACGTACCGTACTGTATGTATGGTAGGTTTTCCTTGAATTGATCTTCTGATTTTACCTATTTCTTCTTCTACCAGGGCCCGTAAATGATGACTAAGAAGCGGGAATAGTTGCCAAAAGGCCAACGTTTACAGTAAGCTTTGCGATGTATGAGCATTTTCGAAGAGGGGATCAAGCCGTTAATATGGGGTTACCAACAACGAGATGTTGTGGGAATGAGGATCATCATTAATAAGAGGCGAACATCCATCCATTGCTTGATTGGGTTCATACAAACATCAACTACGGTGGGAATTTCCTTTTCCTTCCCTTGTTGGAGTTGGATATGGTGCAACGATTAAGTCCCGAAAGTATGCCTTGTGTCATTGAGTCTTGGCTACCCCATGTTTGCCCTCTGGCTAGTTGGGTTGCTGCCATGGATTCTGGCGATGCTTGGAGCTGAATGCATATCTGGCATATCCAAACATCGTTACAAGTTATAAGTTATAAACTTATAGATTCTTGATGAGCAGTTCAGAATTCTATTCCAATGACAGAGACGTTGGTTCTTCTGATTACTTTGCCATACTGTTTTAGCAACCCCAAAAACGACGTTTATGTTTGTTGTTTCATCAAATTTCTGAAGTGGTGGTAAATGAACTGTCTCTCTTTTGGTGGTTGCTTTTTTCATGTTTCTTTTGGCCTTTTGGGGCCACAACGACCTGTCACATGATTTTCCCATTCCCAAGTGCAGGATCCGCACGATGCCATCGACGCGCCAAAGTTGCAGCGGTTGTACAGTGTGCCTTGGGCTTGTGCGGTAGGGTTTGGACGGTATGGTCAGAAGTTGATGGCCTTGCAAAACACACACCAGGTACTGCGTTGGTGAGATCAAGATGTATATAGGATGTTCATGGCTAGAATTGGCTATTGAATTTCACGAGGTTTTCGGGTCTTGGGTCCCAACTGATTTTTGCATATTGCTGTACCCTGAGGTACCATCGGCGCAAATAGCTGTGCATGTCAACGTACATATTTTTCAGGAACCATGGATTTATGGGGTTTTGATCAAATAATATGCATATATGGCAATGGTTTTGTTATGATGAACAGTGTTGAAGAGGTGTTCATGGCGGTGACCAAGTGCCTTCACAAGTACATGTCCACATTACCCATGATGTGGCGCGATGATCCCGCTGACATTTCGTTGTGAATGGCAAGTCGGACCAAGGAGGCTCAACACTTCAAAAAATATGGTACACATAAGACCAAAACAAGTAAGGCCTGGTAGCCTAAAGACTCAAGACTGCATGTTTATTTGCTTGAAAAGATGTTCATCATTTTAACAAACAAACGTGACACAAGAACACGCTAGAATCATCATTGCTATCATGATTCATCATCATCATCAGTTTCGCCATTGTCCGTCTCAGTTTTTCCGCCAATGGCGTCTTTCAACAGCCAGACGGACGACGGAGATGACGAATTCATCACCAGGGAGCTGCAAGAAGCACCTTCTGTCCTTGTTCCGTCAGTGGACGACGGGTCCGATGTTGATCTTGAGACAGGAGAGGTAAGGATTAATACAACCCGCGCACGAGCTTCTGGTGACACCGTGTCGCGCCCCGGCGGAGGATGGGCTTATTCAGTTGGCCGGTTATTGCAATCAGTTCTTTTCGCGCATTACCTGAGATGCGCTGGCGAGTTCGCCCGCGCAGTCATCTACGCAGTTGGCTTCGCACTTGGCGCACAGGCTGGGCCGGAGTCCGACGGACGGGGCAGCAATATAGCAGTTCATTGGTTCTTGGGCGTGGTGGTGACCCTGTCAAGTCAACATATTTTGTTTTTTCTTGCCAAGCCATCATTTGGAATGCCTAAGTGGACTTAGCGTCATCAAAGAATTTTGATTAAACACACGGATTTTATTTCAGTAGTGTGCTGCTGCTGCTGCTAGATCCATTTCGAACCATATATGCAAACAGCGCATGAGACCCGGCCAAAATCGCAGTTTTTTTGGGGAGCGATGGCCCCGTGCAAAGCAGAATCTTGTAAACATCCACTTTTCAGAAGAACCAAACCAACTTCTTAGCAAAGCGAATTCTCCGGATGCTCACAGGTCGCCCAAGAGGTCAAAGAGTCGTTGGCTGGCCCGAGAACTGTCCCATCAGCCAGCACGCTCTCAAGAAGTAGATTTTTGGATAATTGGATGCAATTCAGTATTTATGTTGTAGCCTGTGTGATCCCAGCGGTATGAAGGGTTCCAATCATTGGTTGATGTTTTGGTTGTAAAACCAACCAGCATCCTCTCTCCGCAACAGTGGCTGGAGCCGAGGCGGACCTGATGTTGATGCGATCTTATCAAGCGCGCTGGAAGGATGACTCCAAGATGTTGATCTATTTGGGTTCCTGGTTCGCAGGATGTTCGTGGTGTCGGTCAGGTGACGTCAAGCCATACCTTTGGCCCATTCAGTTTGTCATTCAACCATTATTTTCTCAGTTCATAATCGCGTTGTTTTGTCATTGTATCATTGTTTGTGTGGGGTTTAGCTCAAGGCTGCTAATGGCCGCCAAGTGTCAAGTGTTCCCACATGTCACGCCGGGAAGAATCATATTATATAGTATTGCTGGCAAATTCAAACAATTGTCGGAATTGGAATGGAATTGAATGGAATTTGCCACACGTATTATAAAGGGCGCAGGCGCAGTGATACTTGAATCTTTGAATATTGAGTTCAGCAAATTGATGGCAACAATTGTCAACTGTCAATTGTTACAGTACATTGTGCGTTCAGATTCAGGTGGAGATGCTTCGCCGCAGTCCGGATCAGAGTTTTTCATGCTGCTTGGATTTGTTGGCTACGGGAAGGTTGAGGGGGACTGTTGTCAGCTGAGAGGGTGGTTTCTCTGGCGGTATGTCTTGGTCGATAGACGCTAGGGACATGCACGTGAAATTACAATCCTTATTTGATGGAGTATCATCTCCTCAACCTGGCAGTTGACATGTTGTCAACCGACAGTTCTTGGTTGCTGGTTGCTGGTTTGGTTGGCAATGAGACAACCACTATTCAGTTCCATGCACATGGCTTCAGAGACGGTCGGCTCAAGTGGATCTGAACTTGGGTGCTCTGTCATATCAGGCACAACAGACCTGAATGATTAGATCCACTCTGAATCGGTTTGGGATGCTGCGTCGCTCCAATGCCTTGAGCGAAGAAGCTTTGCCCGCATCACTTGACCTTGATGGCGGTGATGATGATTGGATTGTGCCAGACGATGGTGGCCATGCTGGCCATGACCCCACTCATGCCGCTACGGCTGGTCGCCCAGCTGATGATGCTTCTCCAGTAGAACGTGCTGCTGATGATGCCGCGACTGTGGTGCCAGATCCATCCCCACCTCGCAGGGCCAGACGATCCAGGCCAGCTGCCAAGCCAATGAAAGTGCCCCCGAAAGCCAAGTGGCTGTCAGTCCCTGTCCCAGCCAAATATGGGGGGCCTGTGATCTATGTGTTCATGCCGTGCGCTTTGGCTGGGTCAGTGAAGGAGGGATTCAACGAGGACCTCAAGGCGGCCATTTTCGAATATGCAGATTCAGCGGCCAAGATCAAGCAGCCGGCATTCCAGTACATCAAGGCCAAGCTGCGAGTCTGTGGATGGGAAGTCGCACACCGCCGCCCAAAAGACATGACCAAGTCCACCAAGAAGCCACTGATAGTTGACCCTGATTTCTGAGTTCGATCCTGGGTCCTGCTTTTGTCAGGTACTCAAGCTTTTGGTGGTGTTTGCGTAGTGATAACCCTGCGCTTCACTCTCACTTACAGTCGCCCACTCCCAAAAAAACTGGCATCACAGAAACTGACATTGACATTACTTGAACATACTTAAGACAAACAATGACATACTTGTATGAAAAAACATTGATATTCTGAAACTGTTCTTTTTGAATCTGAGAGGGGGGTGAGTACAATCTGATCCTCACCCACTTGGAATTTTACACTAGGATGCGTGGTAGTCTGGCATTTGGAAAGCAAGGAATTAAATTTGAATTGCACCATCTCCAGCAAAATCAACTTGCTTCCAACCGGCCACTGGGCAAGAAACAGGTATTCATGTCCGCTGGGGGAGGTGGGGGCAGTGCTGGCAGTTGAGACTTGGAAAGATATCAGTCATGGTGACTGTCGCCATCATACAGTACAATCAACTCAAAATCGGCCAATACTTTCCCACACAATACCTCAAAACCAAGACCTCAAACTATGTGGATGCAGTGTTGCCGAATAAAACTCTGTGTGCGTTTTTTTCATTTGTTGGCATTTCATCCTCAGGGGGCTCAACGATATGTCAGCCTCCTCCTTCTAAGGATCTTGCAGTATGCAATCTCTTTCGAATCCGCGGAGGTTGCTTGCGCATCTTGGTCGTGGACATCAGCCTTCAGGCTTCTGATGGTTTCTGACTCCATGATTGTCAATCAGTGAGTGAGATGGGGCTCCCTTGAAGAAGACATGTGTGCCACGTCCAACCCCCCTATTCATGTTTAGTAAGAGGGTGGCACTAAAGAACCTCGCGTAAGCAAAGCCCTGGTGTGCGTAAGCCTTCATAAGCATCAGCATAAGCTATTCCCGCGCATAAGCTAAAACTGTGGGTGCGGTAACTGTTTAGTTTATATTGTTTTTTCATGAGCTAGCATTCACGGCTAGTTCATGAAAAAACAGCATAGCACAAACTAAACAGGTACTGACTATATATTGTTTGAGCATTGCGCATTCAGCTAAGTCCGGGCAAGATGCGGACAGCCCTATTTTCCTCGGGCTTGACACCCACCCAATGCCTCTCACCATTCTTGGAAGTGGGCGATCTGGGCTGGCCAACAAGTTTGGCTGTTTGGTGCATGCCTGTAAGCTGGAAATATCGGGGTCGGAATCCAGTCTGCAAGCAGTTGGATTTGGCCAGTGTGGATGCATTCGGGTTGAGTGGTAAACGCATTCGGGTTGAGTGGTAAACGCATTCGGGTTGAGTGGTTAAGCGAGGTTCCAAGTTCCAAGTTGTTCCGGCTGCATGTCTGATGAGCGAAGGTTCTGTTCACCATTTGAGGCGAGAGACTTGTCAGCGTTTTCACGAAGAGTCATTTCGTGGACGTCTGACTTTGGGACCGAGTCTCTCATGACAGAGGCACATCTTATTTTTCCTTATTTGTCTTTCTGTTCCTTATTCCCTTCCTAACCCTTATCTCATCCCCTATCCTTTATTGGGTTCGGGTTCGTCTCCTGCTCCTCCTCTTAGTAGTCAGGAAATCAATGCGGAACATATGTTCCAATATTTGGGGTGTGTGGGAAATGAGTTGGGTCATTTGTCGTTCGTTCATTCGCTGTCCTGCGAGGTCCCGCCGATCCCGATGGGCGACTTATTGAAAGAGCAGGTCGAGGAGATGGGGCCACATTTTCGGTATGTTGGCAACCTTCAAAAGGACAACGAATTCTCCTTTGACTTGAGTGGAGCCCTCATGGTTACAGGCCATGCGGCGTCACCGTACTAAGTGGTTTGTGAGCAGGATGTGATCATGGCAGTAGGTTCAAGGCTTTCAGGTCATCATGTCAGCAGGTTTCAGCCTCGTCTGGTCTGGTCTGGACCTTTCGGGGAGGGTTTTCATAGATATGTTTGATAAAATATGAATATATAATGTACAAATGAACCACTGGGAGGGAGCGACACGCTCTTTCTGCGGAAGTTTCCAAGCATACCCCCAGTGGTCATATTATCTAGATATATGATGTATGGTGTGATGATTGGATTGCTTTCATTTTTAATTTAGAATTATTCAAGTGAAACGTGTTCATGCTGCCTTTTGCTTCTGCCAATGATGATGCCGCTGACTATTTTTTTGCTATAGATGATGATGAACCCTTCCCACATATATTATAACATATAAAAATTACTCTCTCTTTCTTTTGAAAATTCTTACCCCCTCCACATTTGCTGAGCATAAAATCTATGAGACGATCTCCCCCCTCTCCCTGTTCCCCCTGTTCCCGATGCGACCCCTCCCCTCCCCCCCTCCCGCCTTGTCCCCCCCGTTCCCCGCTGCCCCCCTTGTTCCCTTGCGACCCCCCCCCCTCCCCCTGTTCGCCCCTGCCCCCCTTGTTCCTATGCAACCCCCACCTTCCCCCCTGTTCCCCCCTCCCCCCATTGGTTCCCTACTCCGACCCCCCCCTTCCCTGTTCCCTATGCGACCCCACCCTCCCCCTCTGATTCCCCCTCCCCCCTGCTTGTTCCCTAGCGCCCCCCCCTCCCCCCATGTTCCCCCCTCCCCCCTTGTTCAGGTAAGTGCGCAAGTGAGTGAAATTTTGTGGTGAAGTGCGCAAGTGAGGGTAAGTGCGCAAGTGTGTGAAATCCTAAGTGCGTAAGTGAGGGCTTTGCCGGTTTCAGGCAAGAGTTTCTATAGCCATGTGGCTTTTCAGTTGTGTCCTATGTGTGTCAGGCATGTCCCACATCTTCGATAATATTACGAAAGACATCTTGCACCACCTTCCTGGATTCGGTGACTTCCAGCAATCCTTGCGAACCTTGACCGACCTCCTTTCAGTTGAGCACTACAGATCACGGTGCCTTCATCAAGAATGATTTATGGTTGATTTCCTGACAAAAGGCCACCATAACATTTCAAAATCAACGTTCCAGTTCGCAAATAATGAACAATTGTCAGAACTATAATTAACATTGACATTGACAGTTGACAATGACTGTGACAATGAACACTATATATAAGACATAACATCGGTCATGACAGCCATTGACTTTTGACAGTCATGACAACATGTCATCATCAACATCATCACATCATATCAAATTATAACATATCATATCACAAACTTAAGAATGCATCCCAGATCGTAAGGTATTAGTTTGTAGGGGTTTGCCCTTCATGACTTTCAGAAATGCCTACCTGATCTCAGAAATGCCTAGGTGATTTGAAAATGACATAGGCATTTCTGAAATTTAGGTAGGCTAATCTGAAATTTGGTAGACTAATTTGTTGTCCAGAACGTTGTGCAAACAAATGTGGTTTCATATTTTTTTTACAAAATATTTAAAAAAAGACAAAATATGTTCAAAAAGATAAAATCTAAAATATGGTAAAACGTTGATTGAACGTTTACCTGCTCACGATGCTAACACGTTGTGATTACGTTGGCCAGCTCAGTGTGCAGCTGAGTCATTTGTGTCAACTGTATGAACTGATGAGAGAAACTGGGCATGGATTTGACCTGTTTAGCATGGAAATTATGATTGCATGAACCACGTATGGTCCATCCATTTTCCATTTTTATCACCAAAATGGAATCAAACCTTAACTTCGAGGCCTTAACTTCGAGCCTCAGGGTTGTCAATTTTGTCCTTGTTTGTTATTTGTTTGTCATGTGCTGTCATTGTTGTCATTTTTGTGATCTTTTGTTGTCTTAAAACAATGAGTATCGATGTTGCTCCCAGAACATAAATGTCCCTTGTCAAAACACATAGATCTTGTTTAATTTAATATAATATTACTTATTAGGTTTGCATTTTCAAGCTTGCCTAAAAGTCAGGTATGCAAAATGTAGCGGTTATTTCCAGTACGAGTGTCGTGTAAAAGTGTCCCAGAAGAGTGTCACAAAATCATAGCAGGAGCGCCGCTCATTTATGGACACAGCCTGCCACTAATTTACGGACATAGCCTGCCACTAATCTATGGACATTACCTTCCAGTAATTTTTGGACATAACCTGCCACTACTTTATGGACACAACCTGCCAAGATTTTATCGACATAACCTGCCACTAATTGATTGGCATAGCAACTAATCTATGGGCATAACCTACCACTAATCTACAGACATAACGCCGAACCCGGATGGATCAGTCAACTCGGGCAGCAGCGTCTTGCGAGAGTGTCCACACCACAAGGTTGTCCCACAGGCTGCCACTAATTTCTGGACATACCCTGCCACTAATTGTACGGAGATAACCTGCCATTAATTTATGGACGTAACTTGCCACTAATTTGTGGGCATAACCTGCCACTAATTTATGGGCATAACTTGCCACTAATTTATTAATAGCTTCCCTTACCCCATTGTGTCACCCCCTTGTCTGTCAGAAGGGACGTCTTCATCCACTCCGCCGGGAGCCTTTAGGAGGGTTACAAGATTTGTTTTTATATATTTTTTATTTAGGATCCTTTTTCTGCAGGGTAGGATTTTTGTTCTTGGCATCCAGGTTCGTGGCTTCACTTGGTTAGCTAATACGGTTGTCTGCATCCTCACTTCACCTGGCCGTTGCCACTGTAATGCGTGTAGCGACAGAAGGGGGAGCTAGGATGATGAGGGGAGCGAAAGAACCAATAAGCAGACTAGTAATTTTCCGTTTGGTTTGGGACTTTGGGGGGCGCCTTTTTGACCTATTTTTGGAGCCCCTTTTTGGGGCTAAAAAGTCGCCCCTTTTTAATCCCCAAAGCAGTACCAAACCAACGGGAAAATTACCAAAGCAGACCCTCACACCCTAGAAACATCCTTCACGAAAAGGTTGAAAAACTGTTTTCGTTTTATGGCTCAAGCGACGATGGCGACAGTGGAAGGAACAGCACTTGGAGTGCAAAGAGTGGCAAATCTTAGGCGACGCCATTTTTTCATCCCTAAACTCTATAAATGGCACTTAGGGACACTAAATTTAGCATACCTCACTTCTAGGCAAGCCTAAACATGCATACCTAAACTCCATTAATTCCATTTAGGCACACTAAATTTAGCATACCTCACTTTTAGGCAGGCACTCTTGCCACGATACTCTTGTGGACACTCTCGCGAGACACTGCTGCTCCAGTTGACTGATACATCCATGGTCGGCG